AGTTCCTTATCGGAGGGCCAAGTCCAGCCCCGCCCAAAGCAGAAGGAGGGGAGGGGGAGAGGTTAAAAGCCAACGGAAGCGGCAGGCCCAGGACAGTGGCCGGGCCTTTCGTGCCCGGTGCAAGCCCGCTGTAAAACTGCAACGTTTTATAGTGTGGGTGCTCTGGCGTGGTCGGGAAGAGCGAGGCGAAGAGAGAGGGAGGAGTCAGTCGCCTTGGAAGAGTACCGGCAGCAGTCTGGCTGCGGAGCCTGATGCGGAGCCTGCGGCATGTGGATGATGACATCATGCGGGTGCCTGCCTGCCCATGCCTGTCTCTCTCTCTCTCTCTCTCGCTCTCGTGGGGCGGCTCGTGTGGGTGCGAGAGAGACGGAGCGACGGGGCCTTCCGCTCGGAATCAGCCTGCGGGCTGCCCTGACCCCAGCAGACCTCCTAGGCCGGGCCGCGGGGCCGCCGGGCCGCGAGGTGGCTGGCTGGCGGTGACGCACCGCGCCGACCGCGGCCGTGTGCCTCTCCGTCTCTCTCGCACTCGAAGGGAACGGCTCGCGAGTGCGAGAGAGACAGGAGCACTAATTAGTGTCGCCATTACCGTTTATCGTCTGGCCGGGACGACACACGGCCCGTCGTCTGCTTGGCTACCTGGAGGCGGACTTGACCGTCTTTGAGCACCACGCCACTGTAGGGCGGCCTGATTCCGAGCTTAGCGTCGCCGGCGCGTGGCGGCCGGGCTGGCACGCGTTTCGAGTCGAGTCGCGAGTCCAAGGCGGAGTCGCGGAGGTGTAGTGCTTTGCGCCGTCGCGTGGCACTGCTTGCCGCACAGTGCGCACCACTTTGAAGCTCGCGTTGCCGTGTGTGCGTCTGTCTGTCTGTCTGTCTGTCTGTCTGTGTGAGTGCTCGGCGACGACAGCTACAGCCTAATTAGGGACAATCCACGTGGCGGGTGCCGTCGCCGCACTGGCGGAAAAAATTAAATAAATGACGAGTTAACACAACGCCGGACGCCGTGAAATAATAATAATTTTTATTTTGCGGTGTGGGCGCGCGTAGTTGGCACGTAATTCCATTCTGCGTGTGGGCGATGGAAAGAGCAAGTTGGTAATGGCGAAAGGAGAGGGCGCCTCGCAGACTGGCAGAGCCTGGCACGCCACTGGCACGCTGGCACACTCGCAGCAATTAGCTGTCGGCCCGTAATGACCCTGGAACACCTCGGCGAACGCCCTGGAACGCCCTGGAACGCCCCGCTGGTGCTGGCGCCCTGTCCTGTCCGCGGTGACGGCGGTCCCTCCTCGAGTGGCTATTATCGGGGGGTGCGACCCCCGGGCCCTCGCTGGACGCCCCTGGTGTTCATGAAGTGGGTGCCGCCCCGCCCCGCCGGCATCATTATCTTCTCATCAGACCGAAACTCAAAAGTGATACTGGCTGGGGCGGTAATGCATTTTCGGCCCCTCGGAGCGCGCGCACAGTGGGCCAGAAGACCGGTGGAGGCGGACAAAACTCTAGACGCGTTTAGAGCTCCGGAGTCGCTAAATGGGGCTCGAACCGAACGTGTGACCCCACCAATGGATTGCTCTCCGAACGAGGAATCCATTGGTGGGGTCACACGTTCGGTTCGAGTCCCATTAAGCGACTCTGTTGCTCAAAACGCGTCTGGAGTTTTGTCCGCCTCCACCGGTCCTCTGGCCCACTGTGCAAGGCCCCGCCCACGCCGCGGCGCCCGGGGCGGACTCGGGTTCCTTCCAACCCCACAAACATCGCCCCCACCCTAGAGGACCCTCTCCGCCAGCATCCGGACGCTTTTTTTCCAGTGCGTCGTAGAGTGGGTGGTGCTGAGCGGCGCGGGGTGGGGTGCGGCGGGGCGCGGCGGGGCGCGGCGGGATGCGATAAAACTCCCCGGACGCGCCGCGCGCTGGACGCGTCTGGACAGCCGGACTCATAACCCGAACGCGTGAATTATTTAGGGTGGGGTGGGCCCTGCCCTGGCCGCCCTGGCCCGGCCTTCCTCGAGGCCCAGCCACCTGTTACGGGTGTAGGGCCGGCCGGGGGAGGGGGTGGGGCAGGCCCGTGGCTCTGCGGCTCACAAGGCTCGAGAGTCTTCTTCCTTTTAACGGCGAGTGTTACTGCCTAGGCTGGCTAGGCTGGCGGCGGCGTCGCGGTGCATACGGAGATACCCCGGCCCGGCGCAGAGGCGCGGGGTGGAGGGAGAGAGAGAGAGAGGGCGGGACGTTTCCCCGGATTGAAATAAAGCAGCTTCGAGAGGAAAGCATCGGCAGGAGGGAGGGGCAAGCGCTGCCAGCCCGGCCATTGGACTGATTCCGAGAGTCGTTTTCGTCGCTCTGCCTCTCGCGCACCTATACGGGACGCGTCATGAGTGCGAGAGAGACAGAGCGACGAAAACGACTCTCGGAATCAGTGTGCAGCCCGGCCGGCCGACAGTTGGCCACTGCAGCAGCGCCTCCAGTGCTTCCAGTGCACTCCACAATGTCGCCGTGATTGCCCTGAGTGGCTCCCACGCCCAGCGAGACGCCTAGAGACGCCCCGGCGGTCCCAGCGAGCCGCAGCCTCAGCCAGGCCCAAAGCAGTGCGGCTCAGCGTCTTTTTATTGCCCGCTTCTAAAACGGGGCCGGGATGGGATAGCCCCTCCGAGAGAGAGAGAGAGAGAGAGAGTGAGGCCGAGTCGCTGCTTCGCCTTGCGCTGGGATAGGCAGCGCGCGTGCGCGCCTGCACCGGGGTTGCCTACCGGCCGGGCGCCCGGCTGCGTAGGCAACACGCCCGCGCGCCTGCACTGGGGTTGCCTACCTGCCAGGCGCTCTCTCCTCTGCATAGTGTTTACACGGGGCACACTGTTTATCCCTGCTCGCTGCTTCTCGTCTGATGCTCTAGATGATGACGTTGATGGTGTTCGAGGGCCGTTTTTGGTTCGTTTGGGGGTATTCTGGGCCGCGGTCGGCCGGTGCATTGCATCTCTCAGAGAGAGAGAGAGAGAGAGCGTCCTCGCCTCGGAATGCGGACTGGGGCAGACAATGCCCGCCGAACGGACGAACGGATTCGGAGCGGATTCGGACGGGGCCTTGCGGCCTCGCCGCCACGCCGCCATGCCATGCCGCTTGCGCTAACTGATGACGCTGCGATGCTGGGATCGGGGCCAGTCCGGCCTGTCGCTGCGAGGTGTCGCCGCCAGCAATCGCCGCCACGACGGCTCGATTTGTCGCGATTTTACGATATGCTTGGTTTACGATTTGCTTTAGCGACTTGATATCTTGCGATATTTCGGTCGATATGTCAATCTCGATATCACGATATTTCTCGGGGTATGAATCGCGATTCGACACATCGACTCTTAGTTCGATTTGGACTGGAGTGGATCCAACGCCCACCTGTTCCCCTGCAGTGCCGGGGCGCCAAATTCTTTGTAGCCGTTGGCGGCATGGCGGCGACTGGCCTAGGCCGGCGCTTCCTTGACACGGGACATCCTTCGATATTGAGGCCGTAAATAGGGGAGGCACCGCCAAATAGCGGTCGTCCATCACCACCCCCTGGAGGGCTCGCCCGGCCTGGCCCGGCCTCGCCTCGACGGCGGGGGTGGCGGGGGCCTCCGGGCGGACGGCCCGGACGGGACAGGGACAGGGCCTCGCGCAGCACAATGCCTGTACCGCCACCGCACCGTAAAAAGTGACAGGGTCCTCTCGTCGGCGTGGTGGCTGCGGAATTCCAGCGGCCCCGACAAATTGGAGAACGTCTTCATTTTGGCGACGCCCTCGACGCCGGCCTCGACCTCCACGACGCCGTCCTCGATGCACAGTGGATTTGCCAGACGACCGGTCTTCTGGCCCACTGCGCGCTGCTAAAGCGGAAGCCGCTCCTGCAGACGCTTGATTCGCGATCGCGCTGCTAGATTGCGAGGCAGTCCCTTAGTCCCCGGCAGCGAGGCTCGCAGCCAGCCACCTGACTGTCTTCTTCAGCGCGCCGCCTCTCGGGGTGCTATCTGCGCAGTCAAGTCGTGAAATGGGAGGGGGGGGGGGCAGATTAGCCCCGAGTTCGACGCGTCTGTCCCGCGCTGATACGCGCCGGGCCCGCTTCAGGGAAACGACCTGCCGATTTTGACGCGATGGCGAGGTCCTGGGGGACGTCCTGGGGGACGAGGGCCGGGCGCACTCTGAGCCGTTTAGGGGCCTTCCATCTCGGAGACGAGACGCAGCGACGCAGTCGGCGCTCTCCAGGGGGCGGCGGCGGCGGTGGCCGAATATCGAAAATGGGATGATGGCGGCAGTGTGGTGGTGCCGCCCCCACCGCCGCCCCCGCCGGCTCGTGTTGCGTTCGCCGAGGCCGGAAGGCAAAAACAATCGTCCCGGACGTGGCGCTGGCTGCGCTGGCCAAATAGGCCGTCGTTGGCGAGAGGGAGGCCAGGGCTTGGCGCGCGCTCGGCCGGCCGCGCCTCGCGACTGGCGTCCGACCGAAAGGTCACAAATAGCTCCCGTTCCGTCGCGCGGCGTCGCGCACCCATTCTTCGGGAGTCAAGCAGGCAGTGCCAGGCGGTGTCGGTGGAGGGGGGAAGGGGGGGGGGAGGTAATCGTCGGAAGCAATAACGCAAATCGAGTGGCCGCCGACGTGGCCGACGGGGCCGGCGCCGCGGTGGTGCAACGGGTGGAAGGTATTCTTGGCCGCCGCCATGCCGTCCTAGTGACAGACGACCGTCATGGAGCTCATTAGGGCCGGGCCCTATCGACGGCACCCTCACCTGTTGCGTGTGTGAGTGTGTGTGCGTATGTGTTTGAGGGGGCTGGGCCCGCTCCTTAGAACAGCGCGTTGCGGGTTGCGCGTGTACTACACTGTTGCAGCGCATGCTGCCTGAACCCCTTGCCCCCCCCCCCCCCCCCTCCACTTACAGTGTGCCTCCCTGTATGGCCTCGTCGCGCGCGGCGGGCGGTTGCTAGTGTGTGTTTGTGCGTGTGTTGGTTTTGTCGATGGCTCTCTAACGCCGGCTTTTTTCTGCTCTGTTGTTGCAGGTGAGTATATCACATCAAAACGGGGATCCCGGAGGGTCCGTCGCTGTGAGTATACACCCCGCTTCTGTGTGTCTTTCAAGTAGCCGCGCGGTGGTTGGTGGGGTGGGCGGGGCCCCGCTGAGATGACAATAAAGTGACAGTCCGAAAAAAAGGGAATTGGAAATTAATTGTTCGCGAACGGGGCGGCCGAGGGCTCGGCGCGAGGCTAGGCGGCGCGTCGGCGGCCGTCGTGCGCGTGATCCATCTTGGCGTGCGGCGCGCGGCGCGCTCACGACCGCACCGCGCCGTCACTGCTATTTTTAGGGCGCGTGTTGCGTGTCCGTCACTGAGCCGTCACTGCGCCGTCGCCGTCCCTTCGATTGTCCTTCCCTTGCCGGGTGGCGCCACGGATCGGCCGCGCGTCCGTCAGCGGCCACTGTCCCTTCACTTCCTGTGTCTGTCCGTCTGTCACTCAGCGTCCGTCAGTCCGTCACTCTTTGGCTGACTTCATTACTATTCGGCATGGTTCCGGTCCGCGGGATGTTGTTGACTGATTCGCTGCGCTGCCGACTCGTCGCTCTCCCTCTGTCTCTCTCGCTCTCTCTCGCTCTCGCTCTCTCTCCCCCTGCGTGACGCTACTCGCGGTGCGGTCGTGGTATCCACGAGTCTAATTAATCCACTCATTGTGCTCACCGAGTCCCCGACGCAGGACAGCTGAGTCACTTGACTGCCCCACTGGCGGCGCGCTGGCGGCGCGCTGGCGGATGCGGGGGGCCGCGTCGCCGCGTCGCTCTCAGTTTCTCCTTGAACGGCGTTTAATTTGGTCGAGGGGTGGCAGCATGGCGGGCCATGGCGGCCGGGCCTCGCGGCGTTCGTTTCCCGTCCGTTTATCGTCGACAATAGAGGAAGTTGGAATTAAATAATTAATCCGGCTCGTCGCGCAGCCCGGCCGCGCGCCGCGGGCAGAGTGGGAGGGAGAGAGACGGGAGATTGGTCGTCGAACACGTCGTTTGGTTCCGCCGGCAGGTTGTCTCTCTCGCGCTCGTGCGTGGGGGTGGGAGAGAGAGAGAGAGAGAGAGAGAGAGAGAGAGAGAGAGAGAGAGAGAGAGAGAGAGAGAGAGATTGAAAGAGAGAGAGAGCGCTCGGCCGCGTCGCTTCCGCGCCGATTCGGTGGTTCGCCAGGAAGGCAGCGGCGCGCGGTTTTGGCGCGGGTTTTGTCCAGTCAGGGCGAGGGGCCTGTCGTCCTCCCCCGGGCTGGCAGGCTGGCAGGCTGGCAGGCCGGCTCCAGTCGTGCGGCACGCTGCCGCTGCAGCCTGATTCCGAGAGTCGCTTTCCTCGCTCCGTCTCTCTCGCACTCACGGGGCGTCCTGTGAAGGTGCGAGAGAGACGGAGCGACTCTCGGAATGAGAGTGCTGCTGCTGGCTTTGTGGCGTGGACTGTCCGCCCGCGAAAGCCATTCACATCCACTTGAGGCGGACGGGGCGAGCCGAGCCGAGCGAATCAGCGGCACTGGAGGACCTCCTGGAGTCTAGAGGCTGGAGTGGCTGGAGCGGCTGGGGCACTGTACTGTGTCACTGCAGCACACGCACAGCGCCGCACAGCGCGCTCAGCTGACCGCGGCTAAGCCTGCCGGATGAGCATTTGGGTCGCTGCCCTGGAGCCTGGAGCCTCCAGCAGACTCCAGCGAGCGAGCCTCGGGGCCGCTATCCGCCGGGACCATCTGGAAGGGATCCCCTCCCTGCCAAGCATGCCAGACGGACGGCGCAGCGGTGACTATGCAAGGAGGCAGGCGGCTCGGTTATCAACACGCACAAGAGGCGTTTCTCGAATGTTGAACGTCGCAAGTCCATTCACTCGCTCCAAGTAAATCGTCTTGGTTCAGAGAGTTGACTTTTTGGGGCGAAGTGACGACGGAGACGATTGTCTGAGGAGCGGCTCTTTCGCTTCCTGATTTGGCGCTTAGCGCGTCGCTCTGTCCCTCCCGCGCCCATTCGGGACGCCGCGCGAGTGCGAGAGAGACCGAGCACGCCGATCAGAGTGGAGGCCGCAGCTGCTTTGGTCGCATTTCCATCCTCCTCCAAGCCGCAGCGACGCCACTCTTGTCGGCCCGTCGGCCTGGCGGTCTGTCCCTCCCGGCACTTCCGTTTTCCCAGTGCCCTTCCTCCACGTGATTCGATTATGATCCGGCGGCGAGTTTTCGGACTGTCCCCTCTGGGATTTTCCCCCCGTTTTTTCCTTCATTTTTCCCGCCCCGAACGTCATGAAGATCTTGTTTTTGCCGGGGCGATTTGTCAGTCTCCGCTAAGCTTTCTCTCGCTCTGGCCGCGGCGTGTGGACGGACGCGACCGAACCGGCGGCACTTTCCAGGAAATGATGCGTTGTTTTCTCGTTTTTTGGCCCGCGGCTCGGCATGGCTTGGCGGCACGGTGCATCCGCTGCCGATCGGACTGCGCGCCGCCAGCCGCGGCCAGCGCAGCCACCACACTGCCCGCGGATTACTGAATCGCTCGCGAACCGTATCCCGTGTCGAACTCACCACAAAAAAAAAGAAAAAACAGATGCAATTTTCTTTTGAAAGACGAAGTTACGTAGTACTTTGATCGGTGAAAAAAAACGGAGGATGAAAAAAAAATCTCGCATTGCGAAGAACATTATCCATGGCCGAGGACGTACAGAGTGGTGCGCTGCTGTGGCGGGCGGGCCGGTGGCAGGGAGAGGAAAAAAAAGAAATGACGAGCAGTATTTGAACCCGGGACCTTTGCCGAACGCGCGGGAACGGCCGGATAAATCAGGTCCGCCATAACTGTCGTTTGCAAGGGGACTGCCAAGGCCTCGGCCAAGGCGGCAAACGGTCGCGGAATCCAGAATCCGGAATCCGGAGCGCCGTCGGGGGACGGTGTCCGTTTTCCCGCCATTTTCGCCCACGCCGTAAAACGGCCTCGCGGTTTACGGGCCTTGTTTACAGAGGAAGGTGAATCGGAAATTGAACGCCGCGCAGCCTACTTCTTGCGATGCGACGCCAGGTTGCTGCGCTCTAACTCGCGTGGGTTTTCTTTTCGCCGAATTTTCCGGCCGGTTTTTTTTTTTTCGTTGCGCTTTCCCGCCAAACTGATGGCGCTTGTGGAAGCTCGCCGATGGCGCCCCCCGGATGATGCAGGCCGCGGGATAGAAAGAGATGGCGTAGCGTGGCGCAGCGTGGCGCGGCGTGGCGCGGCACGGGGATTGAAAATTGTTATGTATTGCGCGGCCTCGCGTGGAGGGAGGCCCCGTGGGCCCCGTGGGGGGCATGGAGGGCGTGGGCGTAATTACCTTGCATTAGCATACACTGCATACGTGCCCCCTCCCCACAGTAGGCCAGAAGACCGGTTGAGGCGGCCAAAACTCCAGACGCGTTTTTAGCCCTAGAGTCGGTAAACAGGGCTCGAACCGAACGTGTGACCCCACCAATGGATTCCTCGTTCGGAGAGCAATCCATTGGTGGGGTCGCACGTTCGGTTTGAGTCCCATTCAGCGACTCTGAAGCTAAAAACGCGTCCGGGATTTTGACTGCGTCCGTCGGTCTTCTGGCCCACTGTGGATCGGCGATGCCCCCTCCCTCTGGTTTTCATTTTCTTCCTCATACGTTATTTGCCAGTGCCCCGTCCGATCTGCGCCAAATCTCGGCAAATCTCGGCCCTTCCGTCCCGCGTCGCAATTTCCGCGACTAACGTTGACCGGATTGCCCCGCCGTCCGCCCGGCCTTGCCCCCGACGTGCCCCGCATCCATATGCAGCAAAAACGACAGCTCCGCGGCGCCGCTGGAGGGTTTCGGGTCCGGGGCCGGTTTTTGTTGTTGTTTTTTTTTGGCGGTGCGGCTGTGCGAGCTTGCGCGCGCGGTCGTGCGCAGTGTAGGCGCCGCCTCTCCGGCCGATTTCCGGTCCGCGCCACTTCCGCCCAATTTCCGGTCCGAGGGCTAATTTGATCGGGCGCGCTGTTTGAGTGTGACTGTGTGGCGGCGACGACGCGGCCTGCGACGTGGCCGTCACACAGTGTGCCGTCCCCACCAGAGCGCCGCAAAGCACCCAAGCCTCTCGCCGCCGCACAGCAGCACCAAGCAGCACAGCAACGCGGCAGCGAAGCGCCCCCCCCCCTCTTCCAGGGAACGGGGACTGCATTAGTGGCAGCTTGGCGCGCTAAATGAGATGGGACGTCCCTGTCTCCCCCGCCCTCCCCCCCTTCCCCCCCCCCCTTTTCCCTGACCGAGGCTGCCAGCCAGCGTCGCGTCTAGCAAGGTGCGCCGGACTAAATTTTTAAGCCATGCGTGAGGGGAGAACAACATTAGTATGAGCGCGGCAGCCTTGATTACTTTTTTCTTCTTTTCATTTTTTTTTTCGCGGACTTGTGTGCATTTGCGCCAAGGAAAAATAGCCGCGTGGTAATCCCCGCACGCGTGGCATGCGAATGAAAAGCCGAAAACCCAGCCGGCTGCTGGGAGAGTCGGCCGTCAACAGAAAGCAAGCCGTTCCCAATAATTTGGTCGGGGGGGGGGGGATGCAACCTTTCCTCTGGCCTTCGCTTTCATAATTTCCTCGTTGCAATAAACCTGGGGTGCAGCGCGGGGGGGCGCGAAATGGCGGGGCGGGGCGGGGCGGGGCGGGGCGTCATCGCGGGGTTCCAATCAGGCCCCGTCGCCAGGTGCGAGCCTAGGGCCTACAGGGTGCGTCCCTTCTGCCCGCTTGCCTGTTAGCGGTCCCGCCCGCCCTAATGTGTCCATCCATTCTCATTCGGCCCGCTGGACGCGCTGGAATGAGAGAGGAGAGAAAAGGGAACACGGAAAACACGTGTTCCGGCCGGTGGCCCACCTCTTATTTTTATCACGCGCTGCCGTGGTTTAATTTTTTATTTATTTCGCGGCTAGATTTTTATTTTTATTTTTTTTCTCTGCCTCTTTTTTTGCTTGCCCGTGCCGCGTGTCAGATAAACGCTACAGCCTATATCGTGCCACACGCCCCACCTTCGCAGCGACGTGTGTCCATCTCGCTCCTCTCCAGCCCTTTTCGTAAAAAAAATAGAAAATATCACTTTCTATTTGTCTCGCTTTATCATTCTCTTGTTCGCGCACGGAAATAAAAATTTTCGCGCGACACGTCAGGGTTTTCTTTTTTTTTTTTCTTGATGTGGAGCGCGTGCGGTGGGTGGTGGTGTGTTCCCCGCTGCTGGCCGTCATGAAGACGGACAGGCTGGCTGCCTGGCGGCTCGCTCTGGTGACGGTGACGCGTTCCCCGTGACGTCACGCCGCGCCACGCCGTGCCGGCCGAGGCGGCGGCTCCGAGGCGCTGCGGGCGCCGTGCGGGCAGGCAACCCGAACGCGGCCGAGCGCGACGGGCCGGCCGGCCGCGCCTAGCCTCCTCGAGCCGTCGCTCTGTCTCTCTCGCACCACTGCGGTCCTGCTGGACGCGCCCCGAGTGCGACAGAGACAGACTCAGGCGGGGTGGGGGCCGTTTAATGACGCCACTGCGAGTCCCCGCGTGGGGCCGCGGATGGGGCGTTGGGCCCTTTACCCTTTTTACCTGCCCTTCCCATTACGTTATGCCCTGATTGCCAATTTTCAACCCCTTATTGGAAATGGCTTCATCTTCCCTCTTCTTCTTCTTCTTCTTCTCGGGGTGCCGTGCCCCGGTAACTCCACTGGTAAATAAGGGGGCGCCCTTCCGCCCTTAGTGCCCCCGTGCCTCGCAGCCGCCGCGCACCGCAGGAGTGCCCGCGGCGTGTCGACCAGGAGTGCACCGCCTGAAAAGTCTTGCCGTTTTCCACTGCATTCGGAAACTGCTTGTGTGTAGTTTTGCGGTTGTCCACGCCTGTTCCTGGACAGTCCCTATCTAGCACTGTATTGGACAAGGCGGTGGCGGCGCACTGGTGGCGGCCCTGCCTCATCATTACTATTCGCACGCGGGGCGCGGAGCACGGAAGCGGGCGGGGAAGGCCCGGGAATGGAACGGGCTGCTTTACGGCGTCCTATTGGCTGCTGGCTGCCCCGGCCAAGGCTGCCCGTGGCTGGGCCACTGGCGGGCACTGGCGGGCCGGCCGAGGGGTTATAGCGCGGCCGTACCTCGCGGCCTGACGACGGCAGCCCCGCCTCGCCACGCTCTTGCCTTACATTGAGAGGCGCTCGTAAACGGCGGCGACAGGAGCGCGGAGTAAGGGACGTGCCCGGGCTGGGCCGAGGCCGAGGGGCGGCAGTGGGGCGGGGCGCGGGGGGCGGGGCCGGGGGGCGGGGCCCGGGGGGCGACACACGTTTCAAAACTCGCAATTCGCCCCCCGACGCGCACCAGGGATGCCGGTGTGTGTGTGTGTGTGCGTGTGTGCGTCGAGGGATGCGCAGTGGCGAACTCCTGGCATTTCTGGCTTTGTCCAATCGTCCACACGGAGAATTGCAATATTTCTGGTGTGTGTCTGTGCGAGGGGTTGGTGGGGGTGGGCAGCGGGTGTGTGTATGGGTGGGTGGGACCGAACCTTTTGCTCGCTCGTGTGTGTGTGGCTTTGTGTCTGTGTGTGTGAAGTTTTCTTCTTCCACCAAAGCGGGGCACGCCGATTTTATTGAGGGCCGTTACAGTGTGACAGCAAATCGAGTGACGCCAGTTGGCTGCCCTGCCCTGACCCTCTCCCTCCCTCCCTCTCTCTTTCCGGCCCCCTGCTGCGTGCTCCTCTCTCCCTCTCCCTCCCCCCCCCTTCCCCACGGCCGCGCGGACACGTGAGAAATGAAGGGCGCGAAAGGGGTTGGGGGGGGGGGTCTGTTCGGTCGGGACGAAACGTCTCTCTGGCGAAGGGGAGTAGGCCGATTCCGACCACGGCACTGCTACTGCCCGAGCATGTTTTCGCGTTTTCCAGGGCGCGCTGGCATCGCAGGCCGCGCCGCTGTGGCTCTCTGGGTGCTCCTCCTTCGGGTGACCGCCGCCAAATCTCCCTATCGTGGAGCACGCGAACAATGGAAGCAGCGACGGGGGCCGCCCCCGCGAAACCCCGTCGGTCGCCTCTATTTCGCCGAAAGGTTTAACAACCGCCAAGTCCAATCGCGAACAAGGCCTTGCGCGCCGCCGCTTTTGTCTCGAGCTGCTTTTAACTTGAATTCTGCCCCCCACTCTCCCCTGGCGACGGGGTGGCCTCGGACAACGAACCGCCATCCAATGGCCTGGAGGAGCCTGCCGGCCGGCTCGCACTCTCGGGGCGTCCCGCGGCGGTGCGAGAGAGACGGAGCGACGAGAGCACCGCTTTGGATCGCCGAGCAGAGAGCCACACCAGCCACACGGCGATCGCCGTGCCCTCTGGGTTCCCATTGACTCTCAATCTTTGGCCAGAAGCCTTCTGCTGGCTGGCTGCTCGGTCTGGCGGCGCTGTGGTTGCACCGCGTCGGCGGACTGGGGGTTGCTGCTGCTGCTGGGGCTTTGGGAGTATTACAGCCCTGCCCTGCCGGCCCCCTTGCAGTGGAATGCGTTAGCAGCAGCACGGTGCGGTCAGTCTAGAGATGTTGGACCGTCTGGTGGTGGCGCCGGGCCCTGACTCCGAGAGTCGTCTTCCGTCTCTCTCGACTCAAGAACGCCCCATGAGCGCGAGAGAGACGGCGCTACTCTCGGAGTCAGGCTGCCTGCTTCCCCCTGCCTTCGGGTTGCGGCGTGTTCGCTCGGATTGGCTTTCACCTGTGGATTTAAGTTGGCTGCGCCGCGCCGCCGTCGGCTCGCCGAAAAGCGCTTTAGAATCCGCAGCGCGCCGAACAGGGGATGGGGTGGCGATGCAATTAGGTGACACCCAACGCGCTGCATGCGTGGAGAGCTTAGCTCTGCCTTCCGCGCCTTTGTTTGGCCGAGTCCGTCCCGAGCCAAGGTGTGGGCGTGACTCTCGGACAAAAATTGGCGGTCGACTCATTGGTTTTTGTGTTCTAGGCGGACTCGGTTTGTGACGCGGCTTTCTCTCCTTGTTGCAGCACATGGTCCAGACGGGCATGGCCAGCCCCTACCCGACGCCGCAGTTTCCCCAGAACGGCGAGGCCATGCCGGCGATGCCCATCAAGGCCGACTCGGCGGGGGGAGGCGCGGGGCAGCTCAAGGAACCCGGGCCGCCGGTGCCGGCCTACTCGCCGCCCGTCAGCGCCGCGGTGGCGGTCAGCGGGGCGCCCGTCAACGGCATCGAGCAGCAGACAGTGAGCATTGTGAGTACCGCGCGCCGTGCCTGTCCGGCCGGTGCGGCCCCGCCGGGCCCCGCCGGGCCCCGCCGCGCGGACCGTCTCCCTGCCCCGCCAGCCCCGCCGCTGTGGCGTCACGGACTCAAACGAGTTGAGCAAAGTTTTAAAATATTTTTTGTCACTGTACTGGCGGCTGGCTTGGCCGCCGGAGACAATTATTTTCTCCCAGCGTGCTCTTAATTTGGTCCCAAAGTGACGCCACGGCCTGCCACCTGCCTCTCTGGCTGGCGGTGGCTGCGGTCCTGGGACGCGGTCCTCTCGAGGGGGGTCGGCGCGGCGCGCTGCGCACCGCCACACGGGCCGAGCGGCCACACACTAGCGCACCAGCGAGAAAAACGGCCGTTTTCAACGAGTTTACTTTTAAAATTGGCCATGTGTTGCGGTGGCGTGGGCGTGTCTCTGGCCCGGGTGGTGGCCGCGGCAGGCGGGGAGGTGCGCCGCTCGCCCGGCCGCCCTAGCGTAGTGGACAAGTAACTCTAGCGGTTTAAGTTCCAGCACCGTTTTGTCTTCCAGTTATACGTACTTTTCATTTCGTTTACTTTGGTTGTCTGTTTGAGGACACGCATCGTTTTGGAATGTGTCTCTAGATGTCTCTCTCGTTTCCTTCTAGAGGCTGTGGTTTATTTTTCTTTGCGCATTCCACCACGTTTTGTCGGTTACTTTACTTTGATTCTCCCAGTTTGAACCATGATGAGATCGCCGCCTTCTCAGCCGCTGAGTTTGGTCGGAAATCCCCCGCATCGCGCTGGCCGAGGCCCTCCGGCCATCCCTCCTCATTTAACTCGGTGACCCAGCGCCCAGTGGAGCGCCCAGTGGGCACCAAGGCCTCCACGGTGGAGGTGTTGCCGCCCCCACCCCGCCCCACCCCCACTCCATCCGTCCGCGACCGCAAATCTGCGGAGGTGTTCCCGCCCCCGCGCGCGAAAGTTGCTCCAGCATGACAAACACGACGGGCGTTCCGGGCGTTCCGGCCGCCGGAACTCCGTGTGCCGTGTAAATCACGGCGCGCGGAACGCCCGACCGGAACGCCCGACCGGAACGCCTTGCCGCCGGAACGACTACGGGAGGGAATTCCCCCGGAACACCGGCGTCCTTCAGCCAGTCGTTTGAAACACGGGGCGCGCGGTGTGTCGGTGTATCTGTGGCGCCGACCTCGGTCTCGATGCCGGCGGCCCGGCGGCCTTCAATGACTATCCGTCTCTCTCGCACCCACACGGCCCACGCGGCACGCCCCGTGAGTGCGAGAGAGACGGAGGGTGCCGACCGCCAACGTGGCACGATACACGAAAGGCAAGTGGCGGTCGCCTCATCCATTTTTTGAGGGGGGGGTCTCTGATTTGTTCATCAAGAGCCATTGTAACCCCTTGGCCGTGGCTCATCCCCCCACCCTCGGGGTCCGCGAAATGTGCCTATGTAAGCCGTGGGCTGGCTCAAGTGGGGTTGTGGGCTCAAGTAACAGCAATTGATTTCCGCGAGGCAGGGTGAGGGAAGGGGGAGAGTCATGTTCTATCGTCCATCCCTGTCCCCTGCAGGCTCACCAATGGGTCGAACAGACTGGCCTGCCCGGTGCCCTCTATGCCCTTAATAATGGCGGTTTACCCCTGCCTCCATTCCCACACACACTCACACACACACACGCCCCCACACACACTCAAGATGGCCACAAAGGCAAGCTCGCGTGGTTCATCCCCCTCCTCCCCCGCAGAAGGCCCAGTCCCCTTCTGGGGAATGATATAGAATATAGAAAAGCGATAAATGTTTATTATGTTCGTCCCTCCAGGTCTCTCGCTCAGCCTCTTATTATTTCGTCTTCCTCGTAGCTGCGCACACAGTGTGCCCACACACTTAGCCCGTGCTTGGGAATGGAATGGCCACTCTGCGATGAGAATGCGGCGATCTCACCAATATTATTATTATCATCATAATCATTCTTATTATTAGCTGCTTGTTCTGTTTGTTTCTGCTTGTCACTATGTTTTGTTTTCGCTCGCAGTGTTACACCGGAGGACAGTCGACAGACAGCGGCGCCGTCACCCATACTCAACAAGTAGGTACCGCCTTGAGCTGGAAGGGTCTGCGACGGTCTCTCGCCCCGCCACGCCACGCCCCGAAGCGAAATAGATTATTTAAATGGAAATGCGTACGCCGGTCTGTATGTGCCGTGCCCATAGCAGTCGGTATTAGAGGGCGACCCCTCCCCCGGCACGGCCACGGAGAGGCCCCGCGGAAACCCGAGGACGACATGATTCAGCGAGGCAGCCTCCGAGCAGGCCGAGCAGGCCGAGCAGGCCAAGCAGGCCAAGCAGGCCACGCCCTCTCCAAAGTTTTTGCCGACGGCCCCCTTGCTCTCCTCCGCGACCCCCCCCCCCTCCCCCCCTTTCCCCCGCTCGCGATATGAAACAAACTTATCCCCGAGTAGCGCGGCGCTCGCGCCCCCGAGGACGCGCCGTCCCGCACAGTGGGCCAGAAGACCAGTGGAGGTGGGCAAAGCTCTAGACGCGTTTTGAGCTCCAGAGTCGCTAAACAGGACTCGAATCGAACGTGTGACCCCATCAATGGATTCCTCGAACGGAGAGCAATCCATTGAGGGGGCCACACGTTCGGTTCGAGTCCCATTGGGCGACTCTGGAGCTCGGAACGCGTCTGGAGTTTTGGCCGCCTCCGCCGGTCTTCTGGCCCACTGTGCCCTGGGGCTTGGGCGCGCAGACAAGGAGAAATCTACGTTGGCGCCTCGCACCCCCACCCCCAGCCCCTCTCCGGGCCACCAGAAAAATGGCAATCCCTCGCGGGGGTTACTTTGTTTACAAATGTGCGGCCGTGTCCCGACGACACGACGGATTGTGCGTGTGTATGCACTGCCAAAGGAGGGGAATGGAAATGAAACTGTGAGAAAAGCGCAGCGTTGGTCTCCGAATTAAAAATCCTAATCTGGGTCATGCTGGGGTCGAACAGTCGCGAAAATTCCATTGACAATCAAAACAATTTTTTGGAGAGTTTCGACCAAAAGCCGTTAATTTGCTTCCTCATTAGTGTATCCTCGTTAGTGAGAAGGCGCGACGAGCCTCCCCGCCGTTTGAATCGCCCGCCACTCGCCGCCCACGTGGCCGGGCCGGCCGAGGCCCAGGGGGCGCGCCATGGCGGCGGCTAGAGCAGGGCGCGGCGGCCCGGTATTGATCCGCCGCTGTCTCTCTCGCTCTCGCTCCGGCCCGCGCTCCCGCCCGCGCAGCGTCCCTCTCTCTCTCTCTCTCTCTCGCCCCGCCGCGCGCGCTCTCTTTATTTTCGCTCCGTCCCACTCCCACCGCGTCGCGGACCTCGCGGCGGGGATGCGCCTTGGCGGCGAGGGCAGGGGCAGACACCCTCCTGTCTCGGAACCGAACCAACTTTTGCAGGGAATCATTTGGGTTTTCGTGTGGCGGGGGCGGCTGACTTCCTTGCCTCCTCGGGTCGGACTTGGACTTCCCCGGGGAGGCTGGCCGGCGTCGTGGACTCGGTTCGGGTCGTCGCGACGCTCGCCGTCGCCGTCCTCGTGGCGTCGCGACGCGTGCCGCCGGCAGCCGGCGTCGGCGGCCAGGGACGTGTGGGGATACCCCGCGCCGCGAGGCGAGACAGACACACGCCGCGGCCTCCGCCCCCCGCCGCCGCCGCGCCGCGCCGCGCCACGCGGATGCAGCGACAGATGGCACCACGTCCGCGGCCGCGCTGCCGCCGCCGCGCCGCGCATGTCCAAGCAAGCAGCCAGCCATGCGTGTTGTATGTTGGTGGTGGGATCGTTTCGGCTTCGGCAGTTCAGTTCGAATGCCCTGCTTGCCTGGCTGGCTTGCCGCTGCCCGACCCGTAGAGCAGAGCGTCGTTGCCCTCGCGTCCCGTCCGCCCGGCCGACGCTGCAGCAGCAACAGTGGGCGGTTTGGAAAGAATCGGCTGAGGGCGATGCTGCGCTAGTCGGCGTAGTCAACCGAGACTGAGATCGCCACGAGCGGAGTTTGCGAGTGACAGACTGAGACAGAGACAGCGATGACGGACGCGGCCGCGGACACCCCGGAGGACGTCAAGTGGGGCGAGAAGTCGGATGAGGAGGACTCGAAGGTTGAGGTTAGGAACTCGGATGGGAGTCCCCCTTTGTGCGTGGGCCGTGTTTTTGTGGTGGGCAATCCCACGTGTGCGGGTTTAGGGTTCTGCGCCTCAGAGGGCGAGAGTGAATCGCCTTGTTTTTACTTTGATGCCCTTACCAGTCATTTCGATAATGTCTGTCTCCTTCATTAAAATTACTAATTTTGGAAATTAATCAGTCCTGCTCTCATGGGAGAGCATCTGAATCTAATTAGGAATTTGCTCCGTCCTCTCTTTTTAAAGTTGTGCTCCAACCTTCATTTTTTGTTGCTAACATTGCCTTTGTTTTGTTTACAGCAAACAGAGCCTGAAACAGAACAACCAGCAAGACAAGCTTCACCACAAAGTGCAGTAGCAGTCCTTGGCAAACCTGGCGAACAACCACCCAAGAGACTTCACGTCTCTAACATTCCCTTCCGATTCAGAGATCCCGATCTTCGGGCTATGTTTGGCGTAAGTATCTTTGATGATGGCATTGGTGAAATCACATTTTCAGTGACTTGTGCTTGACTAGTTTCTCTCTTTTGTTTCAGCAATTTGGTCCTATTCTGGATGTTGAAATTATTTTTAATGAACGAGGTTCTAAGGTAAGGATCTTTTTAACTTTACATGTTAACCTTAGTTATTACATTAAATTTTTTGAACATCAAAGTTGTTTTGTGCTTAACGTAATTTTCTTTCTATATCAAATAGAGAATTTGTTAAAGTTTTTTAAATGCACTGAATTTAATACAAATTCTGACAGCTATGATTTTTGGAAGATTTATTATTATTGGAGGTTGAGATATCAAAGTTTGCATAAATAGTTGGTTTAAGGTTCTGTTTACTATATTTTAGTACCAGTAACCTTTTTCTGTTTGGAACATTCCAAATGGCCTTAAAATTCTGCAATCCTCAATTTACCAGTTCTGTGTGGGTTCAGTGTACCTGTTATGTATGATTCTTGTGATTTGAGTGTTGTTTCTTGTCCCTGCATTATGCTGCGTTTAATTCTCATGTAAATGATTTCATTTTCTAATATTTAAATCACAGGAATCAAATCTTATGGAAGTGTAGTGTGCCTTCCTCTGCCACAAGCCCTCATATATACTCTCATATTGTGTGTGTGCTTTTTTTTCCTTTTTTTTTTTGTCACATTGTTATTTTGCTTGTGTGCCGGGGAGGATAGTTTGTGCAAGTAGAAGCATTGCCTAGTCACAAGGATCCATTAATCATACTAAGGAATACGTCAGCATCTGTTGGCTTTGACCCTCGTTTGACATTCAGTCTTATTTGATTTTTTTTTAATGTCATGTCAATACCAAAGTTTACCAAGCTGAGTATCTTTCTAGATTCCTAGCAATAGTTAGAAGAGCACTTAGCAGCATGATGGAAAACATTTATGTCCAATGTGTACATGAGAGCAAACATGGCTTCTACTTGCACAAATATTGCATTACTACTGAAATGGCTCTCTTAATCCTTTTATTTTCAGTTGAAGGGAATGCTATAATGGCAGAATGTGCTCAGTAGATTAAGATACTAACTTGAAATTCTCCTTTGGCTAGATGTTGAACTGATTACTTTATTGTTGCTTCATACTGGCGCTTTACTTGTGGCATTTTCCTTGTCTGTTGGCATCCTTAAGAAATAATTTAAATAATTGCAACGGTTCATTGATGGATGCCTCACTTAAAAGAGGATTTGCCTAGCTCAGTGATATTCTTTATTAGTGTACAAGGTGCAGTTTTGAAGACATTTGTCTGAAATGTAGAGACTTGAATGCTGTAGTTTTGCCTTCTTTGCCGAAGCAGATTTGGAGAGTTATTCAAAGGGATTTTTTTTTTTTTCTTCCTGTGGATTTCATGATGTTTGAGCCTCACTATTTGCACAAAGTGTGTACATAAGTGTGATTTAGATGCGCAAGAAGGGGTGTTCCCATTCAAATTATTTTTTCCGGGAACATTTTTAATTACCTAAAAACACCCAGAATTTTTAGTTTATATTCATTTTTATGGTTTTGAAATTTAAAACCATCATTCATTAGTCTTGCGCCTCAAAATTGCATCTGAAGTTTAGTTCTCCGTACAGTTTGTGGCTTTTTTACACACAGCTTCCCGGCTTATAGAGAGTGAAACCCAAGTGTCACTTGATTGTGATGATTTTGCCACTTTCACTAAAGCATTTTATAATAGTTCTGGCTCAAGTTTGTGTGTTATACTAAGGGGGAGAATCAAGCATTCAAATGTGGCCAAGAATGTGATTGGTGTCGGGGTGTGGAAGTAAGGGGTACTCAGGAGGTACATTCTTTAAAAATTGAATTTGAGTTCTTCAGTCCTCTAGAAGTTGAAATCTGGAACAATTTAGCTCAAGTCCTTTCTTAATACGTATGTATCGAAATTTCCTCCTGGGTACTTGCAGGGCTCAGTCAATTGCACTCAAAGTCACTCAGAGGTATGTTCACTTGGCTTTCTTCATGTAATTAACATGTAAGAAGGGTGATTGGCTACTTTTATTTGTGACATTGTGTGGATTTGGCTTTCTGGGATTATTCGCATCCGTAGAAAGCGCCCGTAACATTAACAACCCTGCTTCTTTGAAAGTGTTCTGCTATTTTGCGCCTGGGTAGTCTACCAAGTGACATGCTACCCCAGTAATAAGTAGGATTTCTTTGGTGTCAAGCCATATTTTCAAACCTTTTCTCATGCAAAGCAATAATTTTTTTTTTCTTTTATCAGTTTTACCTCAAAGCATTGTGTTTTCTATTTTCTTTTCCATTTGTCTAATTTTTGTGCCCTTTATTCTATGATGAAATGGATTATGCTTGACACCTTTGAACTCCTTTTGCAACCACATGCATTTGCCAAGTCTTATAGAATTGCCATCTTCTTTTACTGTTTAATTACTGCAGTAAACTGTATTTTTTTCTCTTATCACTTGGGCCGTATGAAATGACATGTAAAATGCATGTGGAAGACATTTACCACTGGCGTAGGCCTCGTGTAACAGTTCCAACTGCTTAACACAGTGCACACTTGGATTGCAATCTGTGCAGCCTACTGTGTGGCAGGTAACAACCTTGTTTGATGTCAGGAGAATGTTGCTCAGAACGTCGGTGCTAATGAGTGTATTGAGGAACTGTTGGACACTGAGATGCTGAGCTGTGAGTCAGTGGTAGTGCTCCCAATAGCTATGCCTAGAGGGGTCCTTTCCAGGTCTTCACTACACAGATACTGCCTTTTTTAAACTTGTTTCCATGCTATGAAGCTGTCTTATTCGTGTTTCCTCATGCCTCTTCAGTGATCTTGTTTTTTTATGTGTAGTGAAGAAGGAATCGGAAGTCTCTAGCTAGGACACAATGTGTGTGAATGTTTGTGTTGCCAATTGCCACGAGCTTCTCTCTCCCCCTTCTTAGTTAGAAAACTGTCTATCTTTGCTGAGTGAAATGTTTTTTTTTTATTTATTTTCTTTCTTTTGTGTGTGTGTTTTGTACTTGGCACCTCTTATTCGGTAATGAGTAATGTGAGGTGATGCAACTATGCTTGAGACTTGCTGGCGTTATGAGTAGGATCGCCAATTCATGTCACATCTTTTTAAAAAAATTGGGGGCAGTGGTTTTTTGACCGAGATTTTTCAAGTAGTCTATCCACTTTCAAGCTTAAAGTTACATCAAATTTTGGATTTCGAATACGTTTTGGGTGTAAACAAAACCTGTTCTATTTTTAAAAGCCTTTGTGGGAGGGAAGGGTGGAATGCCAGGAAAGATGTTCATAGTGAGTTGCATTATTTTTTTGTGAGGGAAGATGTCTTTGAGCACAGCCCTAGTTTCAGGATGCTTCTAACATTGAAGCATTTCACTGCAGCATAAAATGGTGGGCACTTTTGTTGATTTTCCAGTTTCAATGTCATTGTTTTGAGATGCGCATTTATGATGACCCACTGATTGAAAAAGGGTCCATTCTTACAAAATTCCACCTGGGAGACCATTGTTGGTCTACAGAGAGCTTCTTTCTTATTAGATTTGATTGCTTGTATCAACACAGCATGTTTATGGTCAGCCTATCTCAAAGGGATCTTTGCAACTATGCTGCCCATGTTAAATGATTTCTTACTTTTCTTGGGCTGATGTGCAGATTTTCTTTCTTTTCTATTTCTGAAGTAATCCGAATGACATGCTTGCATTTGGAATTAACAGCTTAAATAATTTACAACATTTATGCGCATATATTGGAATCAATACGTGTCATGAACCTTTACATGGTTCTTTATTTCAAATGAACATCATGTGCAATTTTATTTCTTTCTAGACCGACAGTGCCTTCTATGCTAAATTTATTCTTGTATCAGCAAATTCTCTTAAATGCATAAGCCACTTTATTTCAGCAGGTATCCCATTGTTGAATCTGATCTGATATCTCTAATCATATTTTTTTTGTCGAATATTCTTGTATTCATCATTTACATTGCATACATGTTTAATTTTTTTTTTTTGTTGCACGTTGTTTTTATGCGCCAGCAAAGTTTTTTAATGCATGTTTTGTCTGTCTTGCATGCAGGGATTCGGTTTTGTAACATTCGCAAATAGTGCTGATGCGGACCGCGCACGAGAGCGACTACACGGCACCGTGGTTGAGGGGAGAAAGATAGAGGTGTGCATGATCTCTGTCTTATTGACCAAAAAGAGAAAAGCAACTATTTTCTGTGGTAGCACTCAATATTTAACTCTGTAACAAGCGACTTTTTTTTTCTCCACTCCTGATGCCTTTCCTCTGCGTCCCAGCCTTTCCCCTCTACTCCCTCCCTCAGATTCCCTCTTCTCCTTGCGCCCAGAACCGCCCTTAATTCTATCACTTAACGTGGACATGCCCCATGACAAAGTTGGGACAAATATGAGGGTGCTTCCTGATAAACGGGATTCTACTCATACTAATGGTTGTCTTATCTTTTTGTCTGCGCCAAGAGTGGGGTGCATTGCTTTAGGTGAGCAAGCACCATTATTATCTGCATCATGTTCGTGTGCCAAGTTTGCACCTAGGGATCTTTTCCCCAACAGGATTTAGTCTTTGTGGGCTCCCTACTTCTGCTTGGGCAATTGTGGTCTCTTAAATGTAATTCTTAGTGGATCAAGCTTTATACACAAAATTTATCCTTTCATAAAACGTTGTTTGTTTCGGAATCTCTTTACTGTAGACTGATTCTAATGAAAGCCTTAAGGCATGGTGGCATACTACGTAGCGTTACATGGGAATGGCTTCCGTGTAATGTAAATACTTTGCTATTTGTGCATATTTTAGTGCTAATGAGAGCCTTGGCTTGATTGAAGGACCACAGTGTCTGGTGTGTGAGTAGCGATTGTGCATTTTGCTGCCTCTTCACCTGGGGCTCTACATTAGCTGACGGACAGCTTGGATAGCATGTGGATGAACAGTTTATCTGTTCCTTTCTAGAAATGATAATATTAAGGGCTGTTCTGGTTTTGTTATCCCAGTCTTCTTTATCTTTCCCCTGTCCCTCCTTATTCATGTGCTGTAGTGAGAGATGCATTGATGGTATAGCTGGGCTGCAGGTCCCTCCCTTGAGTCTCACCAGTTCTTATTCTGGAAGCATGTGTGTTCCTTTTTTTTTCCTTTTTTTTTTTCTTGTATATTGGTCTGTAACAAGATCTGCATGCTTGCTTTAAACTGATGCAGTGTGCAGATTTCTGAGCAATATCATTTAAATCAAAGTCCCCCACCAATTCTGTGATCAATAGTTAATACAGTATTCTGTTGACTGGTGAGAATTTCTAAAGATAAGACTCCATAAGCTTAGGCCTTTTTGGGACAGTCTTTCACCCCTAGCAGGTGTCACTGTTAACTAGTATTTATCTTTGTGGCCTCCGTTTTGTTATTCCAAAAGGTTCATGGTCAGGAACTTCCCCAAGCCATGTCATCAACTCTGGATTGAAAATGCTTGGCACGGGAGATCTTCACGAGTGATATCAGTGTGTCTCATGCCCTGTGCACATGTATGAGGGGTAATTATCACGCCTCACGCTACCTCACTCACCTTGCCTCTCTGCCTCACCTTGTCCCTCCTCAACCACCTCACCCTTTTTCACCTGCCTCACCCTTGTCACCTCGCGTCTAGACTTAAATATTATAAGGAGGAATGTCAAACAGCATCTGTATTGAAATTAGTCTGGGGAAACTTTTCTTCTGTTTCTACTGTTTCATTAAAAGAATTAGATGCTTGGTATTGTTTGTCATGCTTGTATCACTATTTGAAACTAAGATTTCAATACCTAGTTTTGTAGGGGGATCAGATGTTTAGTTTGACCTTCCATCTTGTCTTAAGTTATAAGTTTTTAATCTTAAGAAGAGGACAGAGTGAAGACAAGGAATACCTTTCATGTCTTCACTGCGTCCTCCCATTAGTGAGTAAGTTGCCAAGTTGATATGTCAGTATTCCAATATTTTATGTTGCTCTCACCTCTCTAGACGGCCTCTATTAAGTGCCGATGAGTGAAAGTTATAGTACGGTACGGTACAGTCCTGGGACAGGGGGAGTTCCCGAGGTAAGAAATGTCACTATTGAATCCTAATTTGATTTAATTCGACTACCTCCTTTTTTTTCTTTTTTTTTCTTTCTTTTTGAGATGTGTGTATGCTGTATGATGTTTCCTTTCTTCCACAAGCATATCCTAACACATGTGTGAGAGTAATCACATTTTACATATGCAATCAGTTTTTGAAAAGTATTGCTAAATAATTGTAAACAAGTCACTTGATTTCTCTACACGTGTTTCCCACTTCACACTGATCTAACACCTAACACCAAGACAGTCAGCCAACACATGCTCTCTCTGAACTAACATTGTAGACACAGCTACAAGGCTTTCATACATGAGTTAAATGTAAATTTGATTGGCTTATCTTTATAAATGTAGATTTGAGTCCACCGTGTGACATTCTGTTCTGTTGGTATTCAACATGACTTGCTCTATCTTTGTGCACAGACCTTTTTAATGTGTAAATGGCAGCATAAAACCTAATAATAGTATGAACAAAGCTTTGTTGATTTTCAGTGTAATGCATGGTTGCACTTTTGATCTGACTTTGGGAATTAAGTTTTAGGGAAAGGAAATGTTAAATAAGTATTCTCTTCGAGTCCTCTTTAGCCTTCTAACTTTTACTTTGCATAGGGAAACTGAAACCTCATTTTGTTGTCAGTTTGTTCAGCAATTTCTGGTTTGTCAGGGAGTTAAGGACTCGAAGAGGAAGTAGTTGGTAGTCAAGCTGCTTTGCGAGTGCTGTATTCCCACCTGAACGTAACTTATCACACTTCTTTCACTCAGTAGCCCCTTCTAGGGATTAAAATTTCAGACACCCCTGTTACTCTCACTCCACCTTATTTTTTTACATTTTGAATTTAACAGAATCAAGTTGCTCCTGAAATAGCTTAGTTGTCAAACTTTCCAGTAAGTAAGATGAGAAAACAAATGTGTCTTCACTCAATCATGCCTCAAAATTGTCTCTTTCCCTCTAAATTTTTGTTGTTCCATTCTTTTGAAGACATTCGTCATTTTTATTCTTTTCTTTTCTTTCTTCAAATTTGTCGAATGTTATATATGTCTCCCTTTAGTCTGGTTCCATTAGAACACACTTCTCTTCCCTCCTCTGTCATCACAACATACACTACCACACATCAACCCATAACACGGCTTAATTTCTCCTATTGTGTAGGAATTGTGCAACACTGCCAGTCATAATAACTTACTAATGTACCTGATGTGCCTCTGTTCTCGAGTCAATTTATTATATTTTTTTTCCATATATATTCTCTTGATATTACTTATGACTATAGTTTTCTTTATTTCATTTTAAATTGATTGAAATTAAGGTATTATGTCGATTGGCAGTGTTTGCAGCATCGCATGGCTCCTGGGGACCTAGGCCTTCTAGTGGTAGGCAGAGCATTGACTTGGCCTCTTATCTTCATGTTACTCCATAATTTTTAAGTACGATCTCGCAGTTTTCACATACACTGATAAGATTGTTTGTTTGTAAAATTTGAATTCAGTTGTAATGCCATGAATATGTGGCTCTCATTCCCTTCATTTTGTAATTCTGCAAATTCTGATCATCTGGTCAGATATTTCAATTATGGTTTGGAGATCAGTGTATGTGTTACTTGTGAGGCATTTGACAGGCAAGTTTTTAAATCTCCCAAATTTTCCAAATTAAGGTTAATTAAACATTCATTTTCAAATGATACACTTGACTAAATTTTTCCTTTGGTAATTAAAGGCCTGTCCATCAATAAATTTTTTGAGTAGATGTTAAAGCTCTCCTGATCTCAAGATATCTAGTTGTTGCCACTTTTTTTTTTTACCAATTGATCTAAGCTGACAAAGGAGTGTTGACTATTTCAAACACCTCATTTCTATCTAATACTAAAGTTCATGCCCATTCCTCCTCAACTTCTGAGCAGTTCAGGACGATATTCATGTTATGTCCTTGTTAATTAATAAGGAGAGCTTTAGCTGTGATTTCATATTATTAAAGTTTCATATAATAATAAGTAGATTAAGGAAGAAAAGTGGAAAATGTTATGTATGACTCACATTGTGTTTTGCAATGATAACAGGTGAACAATGCAACAGCACGAGTTCAGACAAAGAAGGCACCTACAGTCCCTAGTGGTAAGTTTATTTTGTTTAACTTCTTTGATGCTTATGCTTTTATGTATATAGCTTTGTTCTGTTTAATCAGACATTGGTAAAATACATTTTTAATACTTAGTGGGATTGGAAGTATTACATTCTCACTACTGCTCTTTTCATTCAACCTTTCACTTTACTGCTTTGGTAATTGTTGAGCACAGATCGTACAAGGCTCATTCGTACCTAATTAGCGAAAGTTTCCCCTTCAGATTAGTTTCATTGTTATGTATTTTAACCTGGTTTGGTTTTGAGAATTAATTAAAGATGGGATGGCAAATTGATCCACCGCACATTCCAAAAGTTTCATATATCGGAATAAAGAAGCTGAATAATTGTTTCAATCTGGCTTACTTCAAACATATGTGAGTAGCTAAATATTGGGTGGGTTGTGAGCTGTGCTACTACTCTGACAAGTCAGCTGGCTTCTCATTCAGTTCCGTTTTTCTAAAAATTTTCTAATCCTCATTAGATATAACATTTTGATGCATAGTTATGGTAGAGATCAACCCTCTTTTTTCATACCCATTTTTGCATAGAACTGAGTACTTCACTGTGTGGAGGGCAAGGATGAATTGAAGTACCTTCTTTTGGTGAAGGGAATCAATGTAGTGCACGCATTATCTTCTTTGGTACACATTGATTTGCTAACTCTAGGGCACTATATATCAGAAATGTATCTTACTGTAATGTGGTTTACATTGGGAAGCGGTGACCTGCTTTTGTGCTAAATTTTGAACTTGCCTCTGGAGAGTCAAAGGGCAAGTTTTGTTTTTGGTTGGTAGCTAAGATGTATGCTTGTTGTTGTTTTGCAGTGTGCGTGCAGTGGCCCGAGGGTAGGTGTCTTTCCACTTGCTCACAGCTTCCAGCACAAAATGCATGCAGCTTTGGATACTTAACTTAGATTAAAAGCCATTTTTGGTGGCTTTATGAAGCAACTTGATTGTGGTGTCCCCTTGAAGTCTCATCACATGCATGCTGTCATTGCATGCTGGTGGTTGTTCAATACTCTTGTTTTGGTTCAAACTTCTTAAAAAGCAAAATTTTAAAAAAGAATGGAGAAAATATCATGATTTTGTTTAAAAAGTATAGAGCAGCTCGTCAACAAAGAAGTGCTTTTAATCATTCAACAATTCAATTCAACCAAAGTATGAGAATTATTCGCATGGTTGTTATTTAGTGTCTTTGTGACTGCAGAGTATTTTCAGTTCAGTTTTTTTTTGCTCTGGATTTTTTTTTTTTTTCTTATCTTTAACAGTGTTTTATCACTGTGGAACCATGGAGTAGGATATGAAATATCGTACTCTCTTGGTGAAACTAAGAGCATTATTGAATGTTATTGATGTGTGTGAATGTATAGCATTATTTCTTCCTTAACTTGAATGCTAATTGTGTGTGTTCTGTTTGTTCCCTAGGAGCAGCAGTAGACCAAGCGATGTTCAGCCCAACACAAGGTAACGTAAACACATTATTGTTTAACTTTGTAGGAATTTAGAATGACCATTTCAAAAGGACAACCTTAAGCATTGTTTTTTCTTTGTGCTTGTTATTTTTTTATAATGTCTCTTCAACTTTTATTAAATGCATTTTCCTGTTTGGTACTTGTTGAACAGAAAATATATTTCTTGATCCTCAAGACCTGAGTTCCAACAGGAAACTGTAAAATTATTCAATAATAAGTAATTAATGCAACAAGTTAAGTCATTTCACTGTCATTTAATAATTTTGCATATCTTATGGATCATGTCTAGCTCTTGGATAACCCCAGACATTAGCCAATCAATGATTCTGCCATATACTTATGATTCAAAATTTTGAGTTTTCTAAGATGCTGCTAAAGTTTGTAAAATTTACCTAACTTCCAAGTAATAGTGAACATATTGCTGATGGGTGTGATGCGGGATTAAACTCCTATTATTTTTCCAGCTTGGTCTATTGCTGTGCATGAAGTTACATTCCTGTCATTTAACTTCTGTCATGCAATGCTACCTATTTTATGATTTGGCATGCCACTATTCTCATGCTTGAGAATGTCAGTATGATTTGGTTTCCAGAATGCATCGGTTAACAAAGACTTTGCTTGAGGTGCTTCTCACCCATCAATTACTTGTGTGGAGAATGTCGTGTACTTTTAAATGGTCATGTTTGAAAATTTGAAATGCATTTTGCACTTGATTGGGAGAGGGTGGGAATAGTGGCCTGCTAAGAACTCTGAAGATGGTGGTGCACGGAGCACCTAGTGGAGCGTGTCGACTTGTCGACCTTGTCGCTGAATTGTTGAGTGTTGGTACAGGGTTTAGGTTGCCCACTGTTCCGTGGAGCCTGCTGGGGGCCTCAGCAACCCCTTTAGCCGCCAGCCCCAACACAGCCGCAGCAGCAGCGGCGGCGGCAGCACCCATGGTCCTAACGCCGCGAACAGCGCGCAGGAGGTAGTAGAGCTGCGCGCGGCCGTCCGTAGCACATTAACCTGTTTCTTGTGTTTTTCACGCTGCACCAAATTGTTGGCCAAACTGCATGTTGTTTTCCTCTGAATGCTTTTGTTTGTATGTATGTAGACACTTCTATTGACCTGTTGTTTTCTGATGGTAAACTGTGTTAGAAATTTCTAGACTGGGAATGCTGTTTGTTTTGGCTTCACCTTCCTCTGTGGCGGCATGTTGTGTTGACTTCTGACTGCTTTGTGAGGGGTTGCCCTCTACTGGCTCTTCCTGTACAGTAATCCTTCGTCAAAAGTCAGTTAGTCCACTCTACCGTTCGTTTCTCCTGTTCATTTCACTGTGACTGTAGTATATTCAGCAGTTTGCACATGTGTCCAAAGCTAGTGTAATGTCTCTAAAGGAAGATGACGGCTTTTGAAACAGCATTTCCTGTGTCCTGCGGACTCCCTAACCATGTGTCGCACTGTTGATTTAGTGGCATGCCTTAAACGCAGTGGTTGGCGTGGCATTTAACCACCTAACCGAAAACCCATCTTGCTTGACCTTGCATGGCGTGGTTTGTGTGTAGCAGCGGCACTTCGTGGTGTAGCCATCCAGCGTGGGCGGGCAACGCGTTCTACATTCCCAGCCGCTGCGGCGGCGGCTGCTGCAGCTGCAGCTGCGGCTGCGTATGCTAGGCACCCTGCACCCCTGGCTGCAGCAGCTGCTGCTACTGCTCTGCAGGGATACCCAGCGTAAGTAAGGTTTCGAGGCTACAAGCGCAATGTTTGTCACCAGGGTTACTTTTTGACCTTGTTCAAATCTCAGTTCATATTGGAGGGCAACATGGTCCTCAGCATTGGTCTTTGCAATGCGTCAACATTCTCATCAGTAAAGTGCAAGTGTGCTGTTAAGCCCCCCTGTCCCTTCTCGTTACTGGATATTTGCCCCTCCCCCTTTTTTCTTTTATTTATACCTTACAACCAATCAAAATACCGTCACCACCTTAGTGTCGCTGTAAGTACTTCCCTTAGAAATTGACATTGGAGTGGAATATGGTTTGATAATCTTGTCCTAACTGGCACTTTTAATCTTCTTACGTAGATCTTTAGACAATCTCACTTTAATTAAACTTGCTTATGTGAACAAAATAATTGTGTAGAAATGGCTCTTAAACCTTCTTTTTACAAAGAGGCAGTCTAGTCATTGCTGTTTCAATCACTGAGGGTGGTAAGGCCTGTGCGTAATACTGACTTTACTCTCGTTTAAAATAAATCTACACTGTGCTGTGAGAAAGAAGCATGCAGAGCCATTTATGTACGCATTTAGCATGGCTTATTGTGGTTAAGGGTTTTTAATTGTTTTTTTACCTTAGAAATTTCTGTAATTTTGATTCAAATTGCACTTTGTTTTTAACGCATGTGTTGAATGTGTCACTTAACTCTGTTAAGAATTCTTCAAAACTTACCAATCTATGTAAATTTAATAGTTTCAAAAATATTTTTTCTTTAAAGTCAATTTTTGAAAAATAAAGTCACCTTTTATCAACTGACAGTTTCATGTTACATATTTCTTGATGGAAATTTTATTTTGTTTCAGCAGCATGTACTTCGATCCGTACCTGGCAGTTGCATCAGCAGCAGACAACAACTTCAGATTACAGGTAAGATTTGCCTTGCATTTCGTTGTAAGGGGTCAAACTATAGTGAGATCATGAGGGTACTACTAGTTCTGTTCTTAATGAAAGCTGCCAATGTGCATTTATGTGACAAAGAATTTTAGCGACACCTCTATTTGTTTGTCAAAGCTAAACTACTCTCTTCACCTTCTTACATTGCCATTTGTAAAGGAAAAGAACTTCTTTGAAATAGGGAACATGCAGAAATTTTAGAGTGTTTATGAAGCATACGGCAGGCAGTCTGTATTGTTAGTAACTACATTAATTTTAAGGTTTCTTAGATTGTGTAGTAAAGCTGGTTTTTGTTGGCAGGCGGCAACCTGCGTATCAGAGGTAAAGAATATTTCAAATCTTGGGAATGAATAATTTCTCCCCTCCTATACCCTATCCTGCTTTAGAAACTGGCCTGACTATGCCAGCGCCCACTCGCTGGTAGAATGTTGCCATGGATGTAGGCCTGTTTGGTATTAACTCTTGGTGGCTGAATTTTTTTGTCGAGCAAGTGGTGCCCTGGAATGCTGTTTCTTTCTGTAGATGAATGTTTCCACAGTTCACATTTTTAGTGTATACTGTTATGAATGAACTCGAGTACAAATTTATGCCAAGTCAAGTTTTGAGAAAGCTTTGTGAAATGTTTTACTCAATGTGTTTGTACTGTAGGGAAATAGCTTGTCCTGGGTGAAGAAGAACTCACTGGACATTGGCAGCATGCTGTGCAATCGAACCTTTGAATTGTACTTACAGGATAGCAGTGCACTTCAACTTTTCTGTAAAGCAGTGTAGGCATACTTTGCTTGTCTCATTGCCTTTTAAACACGTAATTCTTGTAGTTTCACTTGTGTGTACATTATGTGAGCTAATGTGGTAAAGTTGACTGGGGATAGAAGGAACAAAATACTCTCATAGCTAGCTGTCTCCTCAGCCAGCACAGTTTGCATGATTTGGATGTCTTGAGTTCTTTTCCCCCCTCTCTCCCTACTCATGTTTTTTCCAAGTCATTCATTTGGTTTTAAAATTTAGGGTTCAATTATGTATGTGAAACAGATTTCAGCGTCATTAGAGATAGAGGGGGCAACTTTTTGTAGTCTTTGTTTTAGCTGACAAACTTTTATTTCAAATTCCTTGTGGGGCATATTCTGAAGAATTGCACTGTAGCTCTCTCCAACTCAGACCAACCTTCTTTATGAGTAGCAGACGCAGGAAGAATGTCAGTTGTCCATGGAACCATCTGAATGCTGCTATTGATTTTAAAATTTTGGGTTGTTGTCTTTTCTTTGTAACGTGAACTGTCAACTTCAGCATCATGTGTGGTTATCTTCATGTCTGGATCTGTTGTGAAGCTCATCACCGGAAGTTCTTACTTTTACTTGCTTGATAATGCTTTGTAGCCCAATCCCATTAAAACTTATGCACTGCACACCGAAGTTGCAATGGTTTGGGGAATAGCTTTATTTGCTTCCTGTACCATATTTAAATGCATGAAGAGGAAGTCTTTTGTGAGCTTATGGTTTTGTTGTAAATGGAAGCGGAAATGTATTTACTGAAACATCCTTTGTAAAATTAAGAGAAATATGCAAGCTATTAAAAGTGAAATAATTGTTTCTGCATGTCAAAATTGAGTTACCCTTTGCACAAATTTTAGTGCAGTACATTTGATGAATTGTCTCAAAGCGTAGATGTACTCAATGTGCCCCGAACATTTTTGTTCCTTAATTTTACATAACTTCATATTGTTTTTCTCTCACACCTAAGGTGTTTTCCTCTTTGTTTCAAAATAATTGATTAGGGGGGAAACTTAGTTTTGCTCTCCTCTAACCGTTTTCCTCTCAATTTTTTTTTTCTCGGTCACCTCTCTTGCACTGTCTTTTCCAAATTACTCACAGTTTCTTTATTTTTTCTAGGCCGCTGCTGCAGTTGCTGCTGCCGCCTCAAATCCCTCTTTGTTGAAGTCACCAATGTCTACAGCACAACAAGCTAGTTATGTCGCCGCTGCTGCAAACTACTCAGCAGCAGCAGCCCGTGCTTATGGGGCTGCAGCCTCTCAACCTGCCGCTGGATATGCCACCATAGCTGGGTGAGTTGCTGTCATATTTTTCTCTTCAATTTTGTTTAGAAGCCTATTAAACTTTAACTTTTATACAGAATCTAACTTTTCTTATTATTTTACAGGTATGGTCGAGAGTACCCAGATCCGTACCTGAGTCATGGAGTTGGTCCTGTCGCAAGCTATGGAGTGAGTAATGTTTTCTCATGTCTGAAGATTTTTAGAGATATGTTAAACTGTCAAATTTTAATGTGATGTTCCTTTATATTTGTGTTTGCAGGCAGCAGTGTATAGGAGTGGTTACAATCGATTTGCACCTTACTGAAGAACTGATGCAGAATTGCCTCTCTTTAAGCTAATTAGAATAGACAGTACTCTCGTCACTCGTCATCTGAAGTATCTTGTCACATCCAAAGTTGTTACCATCGCCATGATTGATCTTGTTTATAGTTTATGTTTCGGCAGCTAGGCTAGTGTGGCTCCTATTGACACTTAGATCGCAGCACTACCATCCATAACACTCCCTCAAAAATATTTTCCTGTAATTGTGTTTATAAAGTGTGTTAAAGGCGGTTGTGCGCCAAAGGTGTGAATCTCATGCAACTATTTTTAGGTATGACAAGTGTTACACTAGAGATACCTGGCGCCATCCTCTGGTGTTTTGAATACTCAAGACTGCAAGTGGGCTAGCAAGGGCCCTTCGCCATAGCTTACCCACAACTCTCTCTATTCGTTTTATGGTTTTTAATTATATTTTGAAACATGAACTTGACACTTTTTTTAAGAAGGTAATTCTCAGTTGTACAATTATTTTTTTTCGTTTCTAGAAATTTGTATTTTATTTCTTGTCCCTTTTTCATCACATATTTTTGTGTTGTACTCTCTCTTTTTGCATACATCTTCTTTGTATGATTATTTAATTGGTAACTCTTATTATGTCAATCGTTTCTTGTCTTTGTTTGAAGTGATAAAAGATTGGTGATACTTGTGCGTACACAGTTGTGCAAGGGGCGCACATGATGATAAGGTTGAGTGGGAACATGCACAAATCTGTCCATAGTTTAGCTATAGACATCTGAAATGACATGACAAACTCCTCTCTGTATCCAACACCCATGAGCATTAAAATATTGACATTTGTACCCCATACAGAATGCCAATTGGTTCATTACCTAACATTAATACATACCTCCCTAATTGATGTATTGCATATTTTGTATCTTGTAGTAACTTAATTTGTGCGTTGTGTTCTTTATTTTTAGTTAAATAAGTCAATGCCACTGTAGCAGTGCTGGGCACTCTTTAAAAACCTGAGTTGTTTGTCAGGTTATTCGTAAAAAAAAAAGCTCTCTGTATTTGTTATAGAATGTTGACAGTCCGTTTGTATAGGTGGAACTCAGTATGGAGTGCGGTAGCACAGGTGAGGATATTTTTAGGTTAGAATGGATGTTTCGTTTAAACACTAGGATTCTTGTTTCTAGATTTTGTGATTGTTTGTGGTAAGTCTTGGACGGGTTTGTTTTACCATAAGCCAAGTGTCCATAGCTGGCAGGTCCCCTGTGACACTTCCAATAGCTCCCAACAAAAAGAAAATTGTTTTTATATTCATATATATTTGTCTAGCAACATAATTTTTAGGTGGATATGTTGGGGAGGGGGTGGGTGGGCTTTGGGGAAAAATTTCTGAGTCCCTCCATTGAAAATGTAGGAAAAGGGAGGGAGTTTTTTGGGTTCTTTTTGGGGGGAATTGAATCATTTTTGATCTAGTAACTCCTTGTTTCCAAGACCAGATTGTGCGTCTTGAATGGGATTAGTTAATGTTAATAGAAGTGTGGGGGCATTGAACAACCAAAGACATGACCAGTATTTTTACCTGCTCAATCAGATTGTTTAGTTTGGAGACTGTAAAGCAGAGAGATCTTTCATGCATATTAAATTGGTTTACAGAGCATGGGCATGTTGGCATCTGAGGGATGCTGGGAGCATACTTTATACTTGTTTCAATGTGAGTCTTCCGTTTGGCACAATACATAATTTTCGCACAGATAATACATGTACACTGGAAATGCACAAAAAAAAAAAGTTGAGTTTAACTATATCAGTTGTGATTTGCCCCAAATACTTTCTACCTGCCCTTCCCTTTTGTTATGTTATTGTTACGTCACTTTTTTTTGATAATTTTAAGAGGACCTCATCTCTACCTTTAATCTAGTTTTTAAACTCTATGGAGAAACTGTGATGCCGGCATTCTCTAATATACTCGTACAAATAGGATGTTTGAATGAACTGTTGTAAAATAATGTGACAAAGCCAAAATGGAATGTTGTTGTTCCATTTATTTAGGTGTAGTGAGAGGAGGTTGGATTTGAATCTCAAGTCAAAATGTTGTTTGTTCTTGCAACAATGTACAAAGTTTATGAAAGAATTATTGTAACCTGACGTAATATCTCATAATATCTGTACTCAACATTTCAGAACAATACAAGCATAAACATGAAAATTGACTTTGTTTCTTATTTCGTTGTCAAGCACAACATAAACCCAATGTCACTTGAAAAATACCAGCAAATAGGCCCTGAGTTGGTCTCTGAGGATCATTTCAGCCAGTCCACATCTTTGTAGCGAAAACTGGAATAATTTGACCATGTATGTGCTGGTTAGGTGAACAACCCACCACACACAGCCTCTTCACCGCACCAGCACTCATTTAGATGGATCGTTGCTTTGGGTCTAAGAAACAGATACCAGGTGCCCAATGGTCCTTGATGCACTCTATTCGGCATGAAAATGACTTATTCCGTGACGCTTGTTAAGATGAAGGAGCTGTGGTTGGTGGGTTGCCTACCTACGCGGCGCCTGCTCAGTGCATTCCCGTATTTTGACAGAAACACACCGTTTGGCCGAAATTGCCCTCCAAATAGTGTCAGGAGTCTTGGGGGAGTGCTCCAGCACAATATAGTTAAATTTGGGCCATTTTAAATTTTTTACCCAAGACAACATTAAACCCCGGACAACATTTTTCGACGAAAATGGTCGACCACCTTCGATTTGTCTGAAATTCATATGGAACGTTGCTATGGGTCTAAGAAACAGATGTCCGGTGCCCAATGATCTTTGGCACACTCTACACTCTATTGGGCGTGAAAATGACTTTTCCCGTGACGGTAGTTGAGCGCTGGTGCGAAGAAGAGACTGTGGACGTTGGGTTGCCTACCTTTTCGGCGCATTCCTAGATAATTCCAGTTTTTCGCCAGAAATTGAGTGTTTAGAGCCGAAATGGTCCTTGAAACAGTATTAGGAGTCTTTCGGGTGTGCTCCAGAGCTCAAATTCTGCAATATGGGCCATTCTAAATTTTTTGCCCAAAAGAAAAAGATTACAAATTCTTCAAATAAACTTCCTCTTGGAATGCAAGGAGATAATAAAATCACGAATGGTGACAGCTTTAAAAAATAAGTTTCGATGGCTGAATGAGATAGTAACGCGCAAGGAGGTTCCTGTTATCAGGTTCGACTTTGTCTTATCGGGCAGCGCCGGCAGCGCCAGGTCTGGGTCTCTGGGTCTGTGACGGGCCGGCGGCGCTGGCGCACCATGCCGCACGCTGGCGCGGGCGGGGCCGACAGACAGTAGCACTCCGTTCGCGGCGGTACGGCGGTTGGGCGGTACTCGGTCTGACTCGGTCGGTACCACCGGCAGCAGTCTCAGTCCATCGCCGGCTTCTGCCGGCTGGCGAACCGACAAACCCGGCCTCGATCACAGTGACAAAATGGACAAGATGAGCGGTTATGGCAAGCATGTGCAGCGGCAGCGTTTCCCGCGCAGACTGTGACGCGCGCCCCGGGCTGTGCGGCGCTGAGGACCGAGTTGACATCAACATCAGACAATAATAACAACGCTGATAGAAGACAGACGTCGCTGTTGTTGTTGTTGTTGTTCGGCCGGGCGCAGACTGCAGAGGCAGGCCAGAGACCGGACCACCGGACCCAGAGTGTAGAGTCAATATTTCCCCGAGATACAACTGCAGACGACGCGAGTGGACGCGAGCGAAGCCCTGCGAAGCCCAGCCGGTGAGCGGCGAGCGCGAACCCGGAGCGTCCGGCGGATGCCACAGAGACACTCCACCAGTGCCGCATCCCCGAGGACAACATGCTGACCCTGGTGTCCACCAAAGTGCTGTCGCTGTCCGCGCTGGGCGCGGGCAGCTTCATCCTGGGCGTGCTGCCGCTGTGGCTGCGCGGGGGCGTGTCGGGGTCCGCGGCCGGCCCGGACTGCCCGCGACACGCCGCGGGGGCGGGCCCGTGCTCACGGCCTTGCTGTCGTTCGGCGCGGGCGCGCTGCTGTCCACCGCGCTGGTGCACATGTTGGCGGAGGCCAGTGAGCTGCTGCCGCGCGCCGCGCCCGTCGCTCTGCTGGTGGGCTTCCTGGTGCTGTACCTGGTCGACGAGCTGGTGCAGAGGCTGGTGGGGCACTCGCCCGCCGCGGCCCGCGCGCACCGCCACCTGCCGCACGCCGCCTGCCCCGTGGACGAGCCCTGCCCGCCCGCCAGGTACGCCGCGCAACGCGGAGACGCCCATCTAAAAATAACTCAGATATCATTTGGAGCTCTGTAATGTCATTGACCTTTGACTTGAATGGCACACGAACTAATTTCTTCGCAAGCCCATTTTCAGGAGGTTTAAACTTGTAATTGAAATTGAATGTAATGACCGGCCCTTTCTTTTCGATTGTAGCAAAAGCCCGAGCCTTCGCCGCCGGGAAGACTATGGCTCGATGGATGAGTGTGTCGGCGTAGAGAGGTGGGTGCACCAACGGACCAAGGGGGCAGGCCATGGCCAGGCCGGCCGCGGGTCGCTGCATGATTCCAGAGTCTCTTAGGACGTCTCCAAGCCCGGGCCGGGGGACCTTGCGGCACAGCATGCTCCAGGCCTCTCAGACCGCCACGTTGAGGGTAACCGGGTTTGTTGTTGCTTCCAGGCTGCCTGCGGCGACGGGCACCGAGGCGGCGTGCTTGTTGTCCGTGCCAGCGGTGCACGACCAGGGCAGGGACCAGCACGGCCAGGTGCAGAGCCGCGGGGGCAGCCGCGGGGGCAGCCGCGCGGGCAGCAAGCGCGCGTCGGCGGCGTCCCTGGAGGCGCTGGGCGCGCACAGTCCGTCGGTGACGAGCTCCGGCGGCGCGTCGTGCTGGGGGCTGCTGCTGGCGCTCATCATCCACTCCATCATCGAGGGGTTGGCGGTGGGGCTGGAGGACACGCCCGAGCAGGTCATCTTTCTCCTGGGCGCGGTGAGCTCGCACAAGCTGGTGGTGTCCTTCTGCCTCGGCGCCGAGCTGGTGGGCGGCGGCGTGGGGCTGGTGCCGCACCTGGTGGCCGTGCTGGTGTTCGCCGGGGGCTCCGCCGCGGGGGTGGGCGTCGGCATGGCGCTGTACAACCTGCCCGGATCGGCCGACGCCGCGGACCCCATGCTGCTGCCCGTGCTGCAGGCCGCCGCCGCCGGCACGCTGCTCTACGTCACCCTGGCCGAGGTGCTGCCCCGCGAACGCGCGCGCTCCCAGCACAACTTCCCGCGCCGCTTCCTGCAGTTCGTGTCCTTCACGGCGGGCGCCGTGCTCATCACGGTGCTCGTGCTTACCATGCCAGGTAACGGCCCTCACAGTCACGCGTTTTGAGTTCCAGCGTCCCTAAACAGGACTCAAACCGAACGTGTGACCCCGCCAATGAATTGCTCTCCGACCGAGGAATCCATTGGTGGGGTCACACGCTCGGCTCGAGTCCCATTTAGCGACTCTGGAGCTCAAAACGCGTCTAGAGTTTTGTCCGCCCCCGCCTATCAACTGGCTCTCTGTGCCCTACCGGCATCCCTGTCCAGCATGCCGACTGTTTGAAACCCACGGTGATTCCGTTTGCTTCCAGACGAACATCACGCACCGGGAGAACAGCCTCTGGGACCGGTATGACAGGCGGCTGCGCGCACTACAATGGACTCAAGAGATCGGCGTCTATTTCCTTTTATGTCTCAATCAACCAATAAATTAACTAGTATAGCTGCTTTTGAAACTTTTAATTTTCCCGCCCCAATACACTAGACGATGACGACGACAGCGAAAAACGTTTTGTCACAGCTCTGTCCTTTGTCGCTCCTCATGGACTTTCAAAGTGCTAGAAAGACAGGGCCGAAGCAGACGTGCGGGGTAGCGACGGCAAGGCCGTTGACAAGGCATTCCTGCACGGGGTATCGCCGTAGAGAAGGCCGTGGCGCTCTCGGCAGGGGGTAGCGCCAGGCCGGGCCAGGCAGGCGCGAGGAGTCTCGGCAGTAAAAGCAAGTCCTCTTGGGCTCGAGGGAGTACGACTGTCCAACCGCTTGGCCGTCACCTTCACGCGGCGACTGGAAACCTGAAAAACGGAAACATAATCTTTAATCCGCTTCATTGAAAACCATTCAAAAATCGGAATGCACGCTCACTGTCGCGTGGCCATGGCAACCCGGGGCTCGGCGGCGTAGCGTGTAGCTGGGCGTCGAGTGGTCGAGTGCCGCCGACGCTCTCTGTTTCGGCCTCCAAATCCCCTCAGAGTGCGGGCCCGCTGCCCCCGCGGCCCCAGCCCCTTCCCCACCGCCGCCATGACCCCCCACGCCCCCCACGCCCCCTCCTTTCGGCCGCCAAATTTGGCCAGATAGCGCCATTGTCAACATGTCCTCCACTTCGTCCACCTCGCTGGGCCGCCGCGACCGCGAGGCCCACCGCGAGGCTCAGCGCGGCAGCCGGGGCAGGCACATGCTGGGCTTCGTCATGTCCGAGCTCCGCGACGCCAACAACCCCGCCCTGGACCTGGCCGAGCTGCTGGCCGCCGTGCAGGCCGCCATCAAGGCCGTGTCCGCCACCCTGCGCTCCTCGGGGCTCGTCAAATGGTCACTATCCCATCTATCCCATCCGGCCATCCGGCCACGTTTCACAGTCCCCTGCTTTCATTGCCGCACAGTGTCGCCGCCTCATGTCCACGTCGCACAATCACAGTAAAACGGCAACACTGTCCCACACGAAAACAACCTTCCAAAATTGCAAAGCGCTTGCTTTGAGCGTTCGAACCACCAGCGAGACTTTGTCACATGCAAAAGAGGAGCGGGAATGGCGTACTTCTCCAAAAGTTTGACTGCGTCTTCTCGTCAGGCGGAGTGCCAGGGAGGTGGCGGCGGAGATCTTCGTCAACTACGTGGCCTCCTCGCACTCCGTGGCCATGCTCATCTGCGACGAGAAGGTCATCCCGGTGGAGGTGAGGCCGCCAAAACACTGCAACACGAAATAAAATGACGTGGCATGCAAAAACATGTCAAGGTTAGGTTAGTCAGGAAATAAGAAAAAACATTTGGCCGCGTTTCACACCTGTTCTTTTTGGCGGCTGTGGGGGACTTTGTGACTGCGTGCAGAGCAGTGGAGACAACCGGGGCCGCTACGTGGTCTGCATCAGCCCGCTGGACTCGAAGCAGGACTCGGCGGACCCTCCTTGCATAGCAGGCAGCGTCTTCTCCGTGCAGAGGTAATGTATGCAGCCAGCGCTCCTGCCAAAATAAAACTTTTTCACACCAGCGAACTTGGAAGTTCAATTTCGTGTTTGGACAGTCCGTACTACCAATACAGCGAACAGAGCCAAAGTCAAACTTAGTTCGGGTTGCTTGTAGTAGTTTAAATGACCGCACGCAAATGATGTTTTTTCCCCCCGGACGAAGTCGAACACTAACTTTGGCGCGGGGTGTGGAACTTGACAGTCACTGTGCGTCACGTGACCTCAAGGTGCCTGGAGGCCGCCCCCCGCCCCCAGCCCCGCACCGGCTCGGCCACGGCCACGGCCTCGTCGGGGTCGTCCCGGCCGAACGCCAAGCCCAGCCTGCGCTCCGTGCTGCAGCCGGGCAAGAACCTGGTGGCCGCGGGGTACGCCCTCTACGCCAGCAGCACGCTGCTCGTCCTGTCCACCGGCCCGGGGGTCCATCTCTTCGCGCTCGACCCGGTGCGTCAACACACTTTAGCGGCAAAAGATTCAACACACACTCAAGTACCATAAGTGCGTGCTCAGCGCACACCCAAGTTCCCAGCGCGGCACGCCCGAAACTCAGAAAGAATAATTAATTACCGGAAGGAACCGGGAAGTCTGCCATTTCGGAGGGAGAGAGTCACGCAGGCCTGCTTCGCGCCTCGCAGGTGCTCGGTGAGTTCATCCTGACGGTGCCCAACCTCACCATCCCCGGGCGCGGGCGCATCTACAGTGTGGACGAGGGCCTCACGTACGAGTGGGGCGACCCCGTGGTGGAGTACGTCGAGAGCAAGAAGGACCCCAAGGTGCGTCCCCAGCAGCCGCCCGGCTTCCTTCGTGTTCCCTCCCCAACTCACAGTCACTCTATCTGTCTGTCTCTCTCTCTCTCTCTCTCTCTCTCTCTCTCTCTCTCTCTCCCTGCAGCTGGGATCCACGTACGGCTCGCACCACATCGGCTGCACCGTGGCGGACGTGCACACCGTCATGAGGAACGGGGGCATCTACCTGTCCCCACAGACTCGCTCCAACCCCAACGGCAAGGTGAGTTTTTTTTTGTTTTGCACACTGACGTCCTTGGAGCAGAGCGAGGTGGGACAGGGCGGCCGGCATTTATTTAAATAACGGAGTGTAGCTGCGGCTGGTGCTGGAGGCGGCCCCGCTGGCGCACCTGGTGTGCCGTGCGGGCGGGCTGGCGACGGACGGGCACACCTCGCTGACGGACTGCCAGCCCGAGGGCCTGGCGCACCGCACGCCCGCCTTCCTGGGCTCGCGCGAGGACGTCCGCGACCTGCTGGCCACCTTCCGGAGGAACACCACGCTCTACTCCACGCGCCCGTCCAGCCTGCGCGCCAGCAGCGCGCCCAACACGTTCCTGGACGCGCTCACGCCGTCGCCGTCCGTGGCCACCACCGCCAACAGCCAGGTGGGTCGACACTGTGACGACACTGTGAGACCGGCGCCGGCGGCCAAAACTCTAGACGCGCTTCGAGCTCCAGAGTCGCTAAATAGGACTCGAACCGAACGTGTGACCCCACTAATGGATTCCTCGTTCGGAGAGCAATCCAATGGTGGGGTCACACGCTCGGTTCGAGTCCTATTTAGCGACTCTGGAGCTCAAAACGCGTCCGGGATTTTGACCACCTCCACCGGTCATCTGGCCCACTGTGCCGCGCTTGAGCTCTGCTAACCTGCGGCCCGCGCACCGCACAGAACACCAAGGACCCGAAAAAGGACAGCAAGGACCGGGCGGCGGCGGCGGAGGCCGAGATGGACGCGTCGGTGGCGGCCCTGTCGGCCACCATCGTGGCGCTGGGCGGCGGCAGTGGCGGCAGCAGGGCGGTGCCGTCCAGGCCCACCTCCGCGGTGTACCCCTCCAGCACGGGCTCCGTGCTCGGCCTGGTCCCTTCCAGTGAGGACACGCTTCAATTTTACAACCTGCGTAAACGCTAACACAGCTGCGACCCGGCCACGATGTGGGGCGGCGGTAGCTACACGGCAGTGTAGCCTGCAGGCTGAAACCGAACAGTCCTGGAACAGGCCTCGAACCTAACGTGTGACCCCACCAATGGATTCCTCGTTCGGAGAGCAATCCATTGGTGGGGTCACACATTCGGTTCGAGTCCCATTCAGCGACTCTGGAGCTCAAAACGCGTCTAGAGTTTTGTCCGCTTCCACCGGCCTTCTGGCCCACTGTGCGGTGTGTTTCGGCTGCTTTTTGCCTCTTTTTCCACCACACCGTGAACGGCGTGAACGTCAAACGACGCAAGTGGCTAAAGGGCGCTTCTTGTTGGCAGTACAGCGTCCAGCGTCGGCCGCGTCTGCCCTGACGTCGTCTTCATCAGGCCTCCACCGGGCAACCCCAACCCCAGGGGCAACCCCAACCCCAGGGGCGACCCCAGGGGCCACGTCGCCAGGCAGCCTGCCCTACTCTCTGCCACACTCCTTCCTATCGGCCAAGAAACCGCCATGACCGCCGCGCGCAGGTCGCCAAAAAAATAAACATCGAAACCGAAACAAAGGGAACCATCATGAAGAAACGGAATCTACGATGTCTTTTTCATCTTCAGAGTAATATTTTCTTATTGTATTTGTAGGTGTTTTCTTGATTTTGTACAAAGCTATACGCGAATCCATGCCAATATCTGCGATAAAGTACAGAACTAAGGCAAAAATGTGAGAAAAAAATTAGTGTGATCGCGAGGGCGCAAGCTTACACACAAGTAAAACAAAAACTCAGCGGAGACTTTCGAAAAAGAAAACGCTCCCCGGGCGCGGGGCTCGCGTGGGAACGAGTTTAGCAGATGACAATCGTACACAGCAGGCGTTCTTAGGCGTTCCAATGCGACGGCCACAATGGACTTGTTGGCGGCGGACGCGCTGAGGCGGCGGGGGCGGCAGGGGCGGCGCCATCCCCTCTCTCTTCCTCTCTCTCGCACTGCGGGGGCTGGCGGCGGGGCTCGGCGCCCTCGGCGCTGCGCTGGGCTCGGCCGCGCCACAGTTGGTTTCTGCCCAGCGACGCCGCCACACCAGCCGGCCGCGCCCAGGACGCCCCGCCGCCCCGCCCGGCCGCGCCGCGCAGCAGCGTGCAACAGACCCGTGCCCCGCCGCCCAGCCCCGCCCCGCCCCCGCCCCGCCCCGCCCGCCCCGCCCCGCCCCGCCCCGCCCCCCGCCCCGCCCCCGGGGGAAGACCGCCGCGCGCCGACGGCCAGCCCGGGCCGCGACAGCGCCCCGAAAGCGGCCGCCGCCTGGCACTGCTTGGCCAGCTCGCACCCCGCCGGACGTCCGCCAGCGTCGCGGTGCCCCGGTCCGCCGTGGGGACGTCGTCCAGCTCCTCCGCGACGCGCACCATGTGACCGACGTGAGGCGCACGGGACTGGAGTCAGCGGCGCCGCGGCACGGCCCCGCCATGGGAGCCTCTTGGCGACGCAGTGGGTCCGAGTCCACCACGCCTTCTTGAGTCGAACGCGGGGCAGCAGTGCGGGGACGCGCTGAGAACAGCGGAACACATTCCAGGAGTGGTGAGTGGTGACACACAAATTTCTAAAAAAAATTAAAAAAAAAGTTTTTAACCAGATTGCGGCAGGGAAAAAAGTGTACAAAGTTCTACCACTTTGCAAAGCCTCATCAAAATCCTACAGAAAATTTCGGAATTGCAGAAGAAGCCACTGAAAAAAACAACAACAAAAGAATTACGATTTATGAGACTACTTCCTGCCTAAAAATCCGTCGCAAGTCCTACACGCTGCAGGGGCCCTTATCCGTCAAATGCAATTTTTGAAAGTGACGTGAAAAGTGACGTCATGCCAACGAATTGACTGCCCCCTCGTTTGGCGAATTGGCCCTTGGCGAAGGGCGGGGCGCGAAGCGCGAAACGTCATGTGTGCCCTTTGGTGAATCTCTCATGGCCGTGGCGTGGCGTGGTAGACCCGCCGTAGGGCGAAGCGAAAGGTTATCCCTCTATTGGACGGGCGGGACTTATTATCATTTCATGCGACATGTGGAACATTGGACAGCCCGACTGGCCTGCTGGACGAGGGGTGCAGTCCGAGCGAACACGCCGGGGCTGATTGGGCCGCACGCGAACACAAAAACAGCAACTTGACCAAAAAATCATCGGAAAGCGAACGCTTAGGATCACTGTCCGCGGAATAAGCTAAAGAAAGGAGACGGGGCTGCACTGGTAAAACTAAAGCGTAACTCTATGCTCGAGTCAAGCATAAAGTTACGCCTGAAGAAGTTACGCTTGAAATGAAGCATACTCTGAAAATCCTCCCATGCATTTTGATAGGGTGAATCTTGGCGGATGAGCCTGTCATACTTGATTTCAAGCGTAAACTGATTACGATTAATACTACGCGGCAATACTACGCTTTCGTTTTACCAGTGTACCTGCTTTTTTTCTATTTTCTTGGACATTTTGCGCGCTACGATTATTTAACCTTGCACGCTTTACATGACACCCAATTTTCCGCTTGAAAATGAAATGTTTTCTCCCGTGGTTTGGAGAACACCACCCAGGCTTCCTCCGACCTGTCGTCGCTCAGTCTCTCTCGCACTCGTGGGGCGCCCCGTGAGGGCGCAAGAGAGACAGCGACAACCCTTGCGACAACCGATGCGATGCGCTGTAAGGGCTGGTCGAGTACAACACGTGTCCGTCTTGCCCGGAATAGAACAAGTCGTCATTGATGGCGGGCCTGGTCGCTCTGTCTCTCTCGCACGCACTAGGCACGCTCCACACGGAACTAGCCGGCAGTGGCGGTGCAGCGGGGCCAGCGATAACCTTTGGGCGTGTCCCAGTCGCCCCAGTAGCGCGCCGTGCCGCCGTGCCGTCCGGGGCGCGGTCAGTTTTAATGGACTGGAGCGTCGAGTGGGACCGGACGGGTGGCCCTTCCCCGTGTAACCACTCACCGATACGTCACGAGCCAATCACTGGGGGAAAGGGGGGGGGAGCGCTAATGGTAAGGGCGGTGGAGACGGCGGCTGGCAGGTGTGGAAGGAGCGGCGGCAGGGGCTGTGACGTCGGGTGGAAATGTCATGGGGGAGACAGGGCCGGGTCGGGAGAGAGAGAGAGAGGGGGGGGGAGGGGGGATCGCTTAGCCGGCCAGCCGGCCACACTACGCCCCGAGGGAGAGGCCTCCACGCCGCCGGCCAGCATCCCAGCAGAGTGATTCCGCGCGGGAGGCCCCTCTCTCTGTCTCTCTCGCACCTATAGAGGACGTCCCATGCGTGCGAGAGAGACAGAGAAAGAGAGGAGGGCCTTTTGCGGAATCAGTCTGCAGCATCCCATAGCCAAACACGTCAGGCTGGCCAGTCCGCCCGCCGCCAGCCCTCCCTCCCTCCAGGCGGGCCGAAATTGAGCCGACTCGCCCCGCCCCCCTCCCTTCGAGACACCCGCCGCCCATTCTGTGAGAGCAAACAGGCTGGTGTCGGCGCAAATTGAAACAACATAAACGGATATCGAATTGGGAGGGGGAGGGGGGCGCTCGGCGGGCACGGCATCACGCTCGTTGAAGTCGACACGCATCCAGGAGAGTCGCTTCTTGTTCGGGTGTATCAGCTGACCCGGCCTTCGGTCGACCCGCGCGATAGCAATAACGAGTAGAAATATTGGGTGGAAATAATTGCACAAGTGGAGACGACTTGTGCCAGCTGGGTGAGTAGATGGAGTAAAAGTCGACATAACGCATTCACAAAAAAGGCGGGAAATGGGGGAATGGTGCGAATAGTGAATAGTGGTCTGTCCCACACGTTCCACAAGGAATTCCTGGACCGGACCGGACGATCGATTCAGAACCTCACCGCCAAATATAGACCTGGCCGTCCTCACAGGCCTCACAGTGAGGCAGCAAGCAGAGCGCGAGTCGTCGCGTCCCGTCGCGCTGTCTCTCTCGCACCCATAAGGCACGCCCTACGGACCTAGGGGACGCCCCGCGAGTGCGAGAGAGACGGATGTGTGCAGTGTGTGCCGCACCGCGAAGGACGCGCCACAATGGGCAAGGAGAGCCAGTCGTGTGGACGCCTTGATAACACTTTCAATTTCCCTCCACGTGCCGCCTCGCGGTGTCGCGGTGCCGCGGTCCCAGGTGCGGTGTAGGTGCGAGGGTCGATAAGGTGCATGTCACTCAGTGTCTTTTTCGTGCCCACTGCACACACGCTCACGCAAAGTTTAGGACTTTTACTAGTAGCTGGTGTGCCTAAAGTCGAACAGCCTCCACAACCACATCCATGCACTCCACATGTCGTACGGTGAAAGGCTTCACCGACATATTGAACGCGCTCGCTGGTAGCATGGTTTCTTTGCCTCTCTCGCACCCATACCGTACGCTTCTCGAGTGCGAGCGAGACAGAGCAACGCGGAAAGCACTCTCAAAATCAATCTGGCCTTGTCGGAGTTTGTTCCGTTGACGTTGGGCGTTTCGCGTTGGACTCGGCCGGCCTGGGAAAGTGAGAGTCCGACCCGACCGCGGGTCCTTGGGATGGGAAGGCGGAGGGAAGGCCGGGGGAAGGCAGGCCGGGGGGCGCAGTCGTGACCTGGGGTACGCGGCCGTACGCGGCGCCGCGCACAGAGGCTCCTCACTGGCCGCGTTCCAAACGGCACGCTTCGAGGCGTTGACCGAGACGACCAGGATGCGTTCGCGGAGGCGCCGGGGGCGATTCGGAGCGGCTGCCGGCCACCCTGCCCGGCCCGACCCGGCCCCACGCCCGAGGCGCGGCCGAGGCGGCAGGGCGTGCTCGTAAATTATGCACACTGTTTATTTTAACCCTTTGCGCCCAAGGATAAGGAGGGGACGGAGGAGAAGAGGAGACGCGTCTCCAAAGCGCCTGCCAAGTCGAGGATAGGCAACGCGCCTCGCAGCGGTGCACGGCATTGCCTACCTGCCAGGCGCGTTGAGGGGAGAGATAAGCTCCCGAAAGCGCCTGCGAAGTTGAGGATAGGCAACGCGCCTCGCATCGGTGCATGGTGTTGCCTAGCTGCCAGGCGCTCCAGGCCTCCAAAGCGCCTGCGAAGTGAGGGATAGGCAACACGCCCTACACCGGTGCACGCATTGCCTACGCTCCTGTACCATTACCATTAAGGGCTAGACCAAGGCCCCGGCCTGGCCAAGAAGGCCGTTTCCGCCGCGGCCCCACGGCGGCCCCATGGCGGCCCGGCGGGCAGCAACGCCGTTCTCGACGGCGTCCTGCAGTCTGCCTCCGCGCGGCGCTCGCCCCGTCTCTGTCGCACGCGCGGCCAGGCCCGGCGCACGTCACGCGGGTGCGAGAGAGACAGCGCGGTGTCCTCGTGGCGCACACGCGCGCCGCACTCATCAGGGCGGGTGGAACTTAGATTGGCGCTTATGAATATTAAGCAGGTCCTGTGCGCCCTGGGCGGGGCGGGGCGGGCGGGCCGCGCACCCAGGGCAAGGCAAGGGGCGCCCGTCGCAGCCTCGTCTATTTACACTGTAGAGGTGACAAACACGCCGCCCGGCCCATTTCCACGCCTTTCCCTCGCGCTTTCTACGGCGAATCGGGAGTCAAGTTGCCGCCCGGCGCCGCGGCAGCGTTGCCACGTAAGTGGGCGAACGTCCCTGTGACGCACCTCGTCGATAGGGTTGCCACCTCTAGCGTGCCTGCTAGGCGGTGCACGGTGGGCCAGAAGACCGGCGGAGGCGGCCAAAATCCTGGAGGCGTTTTGAGCTCCAGAGTCGCCAAATGGGACTCGAACGGAACGTGTGACACCACCAATGGATTGCTCTCTAGACGAGGAGTCCATTGGTGGGGTCACACGTTCGGTTCGAGTCCCATTTAGCGACTCTGGAGCTCAAAACGCGTCTATAGTTTGGCCACCTGCGCCGGTCTCCGGTGGTGGTGACTGCGCCTCGCTCTGCGTGGTAGGCAGGCCGAGGTTGGCAACCCTGTCGGCACGGCGCTCCGTGGGGACGTCCGCCGGCTTAATGTGGCAACCCTGCGGCAGCCTAGCCCGGCCGACGACGGCGGCAGGCAGGCGGCAGCCCTATCCGCCGACTAAACTACTTGTTGTGCTGCTCTTTAAACGGATGACGCCGACCTGGGCTGCCTGGGCCCTCTGTGGGCGCAAGGCGCAAATAAACATCAAAGGGAAAGTGTTTTCCGGAAGCGGAACCCAGGCCAGGGATGCGCAGGGCTGCCGAGGGCGAGGCAATTTTAAGAGCAGCGCGATGGCAGAAGCATGCGGGTGGTGCTCGAGGCGGCACGGCGGCACGGCGGGGGCGTTCGAAAGGCAACCGCAGTGGGCCAGACGACCGGCGCTGGCGGCCAAAACTCTAGACGCGTTTTGAGCTCCAGAGTCGCTAAGCAGGACTCGAACCGCGCGTGTGACCCCACCAATGGATTCCTCGTTCGGAGAGCAATCCATTGGTGGGGTCACGCGTTCGGTTCGAGTCCCATTTGGCGACTCTGGAGCTCAAAACGCGTCAGGGGTTTTGACCGCCTCCACCGGTCTTCTGGCCCACTGTGCGGCGGGCCGCGGCGTTCCTCAGGGGTCTTTACATCCTTTTTC